TTCATTGCGCCACAACGGCACAAGCTTGCCTCGAAAAGGACGACTTCCTATCTTGAATCGCATTCAAAAACGCAATATTCTACGCATTATACGAATGAATCCGAAGACTACTTATCACACATTAGCCCTTGAAGTTGGGGTAAAGGTTTCTCGGAGTACCCTTTATCAAATACTCAAAGATGAGGGCATTACTAATTAGATCAGCAAAAAGAGACCTTTTTATTAACTCCTTAATTGGCTGCTAAACGCCTAGCTTGGTGTTTAGAACGAAAAGATTAGACATGAAATAAGTAGAGCAAGATAATATTTAGTGATGAATATTTGCTAGAAAGAGGCACTGGTGCACGTCGGAATTAGGTCTTTTGTACGCTATAACAACGCTATGAAAAGAATATAATTAATCCCTATAAGAAAGACAAAGATATCAGCGTTATGATATGGGGGGCTATTCATGGCGACGGGCGTTCAGATATAGTGATAATAGACCGAGATCCTGATGCAGAGAAGTCAGGATACACTGCCAACTCTTATCTCACTGTTCTTGACGACCAATTGCCTCAAACATGGCAACCAGGGATGACATTTATGCAGGATAACGCCTCTATCTATACAGCTAAAAAGATCAAGAAATGGTTTGAAGATAAGGGCATACCATTGATGGATTGGCCACCCTATAGTCCAGATCTAAACCCAATTAAACACCTTTAGGCGCAACTCAAGCAGTGGATTCAGGATCATTATCCTAAACTCAATAAAATGGGCAAAAGTGAGGAGGACTATCAACGCTTATTTCGAGCTATTCGCGAGGGTTGGGACGCAATTAATGAAGAAGCTATACATACTTTGATCAAGAGCATGGATACCCGTATCAATACGGTGATTGCAGCGAAAGGTTGGTACACCAGATATTAAGATCTGATTTCCTATTTAGGAAAATAGGCCAGCTTCGTTCCTTAGATATTAGCACACAATTTGAGCCAATTTTCAGCAAAATCCATAAAGTCTTGAAGTTGCTATAGTAATTTGTATGAAGGAGGTGAGAAACGTTGGTGAGGTGTGAAAGTGGGGTTGGTCGGATACTTTTGAACTAGTACTGTACATGCTTTGCAGCACTCTGTCCTTTTGGCCCGGCGGGCAGAGGATATGGAGCACTTCTAACACTTTGCCCTTTTGTGTACCTCTTAGTAACTTAAATACATTAAATTTATGTGATCTGAAAAGGGGTTAGATGATTATGCTAAAGCTTACATTACTAAATCTCGGATGGTTTTAAATTTTTAGAAACAGGTTTTACTAGTCATATTCATGTCCCTTCTCCTTCCCCCTCCCCCTTAAAGGCAACGATAAGAGATATCATGAGGCAGACTCGCGTGACGCTTACTCACGAATCACCAGGAGTTGGTGATGAGCTACTGAGCCGGTGGTAAAGTGGCGCGAGTGGGTTGAGCAACGAAGTGAGTTGGGAGCAGATTTACTTTTCTTGTTCAAGACAACCATTCTCTGACAGCTCATCTCCCCTAACCGGAGGTGAGAGGAAATCAATGTGTCTTCACTCTTTGTTGGTCTGTCCCTTAGTTACAGCCTGTTTCTACAACTCCTGCTGGCCATACCTCTTTCTGAACAGCTCCTTAGATCGCTGCTATAGTTCTCTGCTGACAAGGTTCTCTCTCATTTATCTAATATGTGTTGGAATTGGCCGTACGCGTATAGCCAAATCTTGGCGTCACGTGATCGCACTCTGCGCAGTAGTATTAGCCTCTCCTTCTAGAGATAGATTCTGCAGGTCGATTGAATTCTACTCATCTACTTCACCAGGCGTCAAAAGCAGCGAGCCGCTAAGGCCGTATGACCATGCCTAAAGGAGAGGCCGCCTAAACCAAAGGCGGAATTCCCGGCAACGACTTTACAACCAAAAAGAAATTGTATACGCACACCTACTACTATTATTCTCACCATCAAGCAGCGCTTGGGTGTGGGCCTGAATCTTGACCTTCTGCCATCAGAATAACCACCCGTCATGGCTGCAAAGATGCCGCGCAACTTCCGTTTGCTGGAGGAGCTTGAGAAGGGCGAGAAAGGGCTGGGTGCAGGTAAAGGCTCAGATACACCTTGCACGCCCTACGATCAGGACACTGACACTACAGCAGAGGCATGTTCATATGGACTTGCTGATGGCGACGATATGATGATGTCAAATTGGAACGGCACCATCCTGGGACCACCACATGTACATGCCCCAGGTTCTCGACCTTACTATGTTCGTTGCTAATGCTGATATTGCTATGCCGTCTACGCAGAGTGCACACGAAAACCGAATTTACAGCGTCAATCTTCATTGCGGTGACAGCTATCCTGATTCACCACCAACCATCCAATTCGTGTCGAAAGTGAATCTGCCCTGCGTTGACCAGAGGAACGGCAAGGTACAGAGCTATGCAGAATCGAGCCTACATACAGCTGACTTGGTCAAGGTCGATCCATCAAAAGTGCCGTGCCTGGCGCACTGGAAGAGAGATTACAATATGGAGACAATTCTCATCGAACTGCGAAGGTACGGACGTCATCCCTTCAGCCAAATCTCCGTTGACCGAAACTCCCTCAGGTATATGGCTTTACCACAACACAAGAAGCTGCAACAGCCTAAGGAAGGAGAGACCTTTTAGCTACGGGACAGGTATATGGACGGTGTTCGGGATCTGCAATACAAGGCCTATTTGCAAGTGGTGTTCCAGCCAGCGACCGCTGAACGTGTTCATAAAGCTACGCAAGAACCGCTCCAGTTTTATATTCTGCACAGGACTGGAGTCCATAGTGCTTCAAACAATCATGCTAGAACGCGCTGCCCTTTCTACGCCCATGAACAGCCGTCAGAAGTAACAATCCCAGACTTGGCAAGCTCTAGCCATCCTGCCAAGCATCATTCATGGGCCTAGAAGCTTTGGTGGGACGCTCCGTCCATCCTGATTTTCAGATTTTCAGCTCCCTAAAGAAAAGCAGAAGGCTGTGCAGCTGACGAGCCTGAAGTCGCGACACTGCAACTTGGTAAGACTTGCAGCCAAAAACCCGGTTGGTGGTGTGGCAGAATATATACGACATACGTATCTGAGCAAAGCGGGGCTGGGTGGAGCCACCCTCCTCTTTGGGTAAGCATGTACCAATCGGGCCCCCCAAGCAACTGGATCATGAGCCTATTGCTTTGCTTTCCTTTCTGACTTTGTTTCTCTTTTCTATGTCGATCTGGCACTCTTGCATTGGCAGACGAAAGCGCGAGAATAATCAAGCTGTAGACACAACCATGCCAGACAACCTCAGCATTCGCAACCTCTCTAATGTGCCCTTGGAGCTCAAGCTGGTCGAGCGTTTCGAACCTCACGACGGCCATGGCCATCCCATCGCAAATGTGACCTCAATATTTGCCAGAGCGACAAACTCGTTAGGCATAACAAATAACACCACTCGAGCAGCAGTGCCGCAAATCGATAGTGATGCCCGTCCCTTCACCACACAAGAAGTCTCAATTCGCATTGATCCTTTCAATCTGGTCAGAACCGATATCCGCGCGTTCGAGCGGTCAGGAAAAGAACGACTGCGTCTCAGCTTTGAGGCAGACGATGGGCGCCATCAAATGTACTGTCCAGTCCCAACTCAGGAGTCTGCCGGTCTTGTCCCTCCACCTAATGCCCGACACCGCCTCACAGGTATCTACCTTACCCAAGCCGCCTTCGTAGCGCTTTACAGCTCCGCCAACCTGAACTCCTGGATGCAAAAAATGCCCAACGACATTCCCCTCTCCTTTCTGTCCATTCCTGGAACCCACAACTCCCCCACCCACCACAAAGCCCCACCTTCCGTACGCTGCCAAGCCGTGTCGCCTTGGGACCAAATGCAAAACGGGGTCCGCTTCTTTGATCTGCGCGTCCAGCCCGAGTCACCTCCCAACGACCCGCTTGTCCTCGTTCACTCTGTCTTTCCCATCTCATTATCTGGCAAGAAATACTTCCGGGATCTGTACAACGACATCCTCCGTTTCCTACGCGAAAACCCCTCCGAGATACTCCTCATGAGCCTGAAACGTGAAGGTCCAGGCGACGCAACAGACCAGCAACTCAGCAAGATCGTCAAAGACCACTACGTCGACCGCGACAGGAACGCATGGTACACCGAGCCTCGAATCCCGGACCTGGGCGAAGTTCGCGGCAAGATCGTCCTGATCCGCCGCTTTGGACTCGATGACAGCCTACGAGGCGAACACGGCGGCCGCGGCATCGGCATCGACGCCTCGCAATGGGCAGACAACACTCCCGACAGCCTCTGCCCCAGCGGCGACGTCCGCGTCCAGGACTTCTACGAGGTGATGGAGAGTGAGAATATCGGCAAGAAGATCGAATACTGCACCGCGCATTTTGAGAGGAGTGGGAGCTGTGTCTATGATCCTGAGAAGATCAGGGCGCAGCGGGAGGGAAGAGGGGGAGAGAAGACGCCAATCTTTTTGAATTTTTTGAGCGCGAGTAATTTCTGGAAGGTGGATACTTGGCCGGAGAAGGTTGCTGCCAAGGTGAATCCCGCATGTACGGAGTGGTTGTGTAAGAGGCCTATGTTGGAGGAGGATGGGAGGGTGAAGGAGGGTGCATGGGCAACTGGGGTGGTGGTTTGTGATTGGGTCGGGTTGGATGGGGATTGGGATCTTGTTAGGTGTATTGTTGGGATGAATGCGAGATGGATTGGACGTTGAGTTTCTAGCAAAATGGACAGGGCAAGAAGGAAACTCAGCCAGCGATCTTGATATAGATGTTGGAAAGAATTGTGTACACATTGGTTGGAAGTTGCCACCCTATACATACGACTTGGTTATTCCCGCTTTGGCGCATCCCCACCTGCATCTATCGGCTTGCCTTCTCCCTCAAGCATATGCCTGCGACTCTCCATTGTGAAATACAAGCTGCGGCTCGCGCTCTCCAATGCACCGGTAATCCCAGCCCCAAACCCTTGAAGCATATACACGAGCTGCGCTCTCAGGCCTTCCAACCCACCATCAATTCCACCAACCCATCTGGTCCCACCCATGTCAAATACTCTACCCTCCACTCTTGCGCCTAGAAGCATTAACTTCTTCAACCCATCCTGGACCGCCGGATCCCAATACCCGGGACTCGCCTTCCGCGTGGGGGCTGGGAAGCCAGGTTTCTCGGGTGCGAGAATCTGGAGGGCTGCTTTGAGATATTGCGGCGAGACTGTGGGCAGGGTGAGGAGGGCCAGTGATCCTGTCAGGAGGGGTGTAAGGGGGTGTCTGCCTTTCTTCTTCAGGACGGCGTTGTAAGCTGATTCGGAGAGGACGTGCGTGAGCGTTGGGTCTTCCTTTTCTGATGGAATAGTCATGTTACGCAACGCGCGTGGTGATGGTCGAGGTGGAGGTTTGTAAAACTCCGCGATCCGCAGCGCGGGCTCGAAGATCTTGGTCTGGATGATCTGGAGCTTGACGCCGGTGCCCACGGCGCTGCTTTCTCGACCATCGGCGATCATGGATTGGTCGAGTTTCTGCATTGCCAGGGCTAGCTCTCGTCTTATGGCGGTCCATTCTACCGCTTTGAGGTTGTTGTGCTGGAATAGGAGGATGAGTGGTGTGGATTGGAGAAGGGAGACGTAAGAGCGGAGAAGTTGGGATCTGCGGAACTCGGGCGGTCTATGCGAAGGGGGTTGCGCGGAGGAGTTTCTTGGTGTAGGGTATATTGGGGATGTCATCTGCGATATCGAAGGTGCGGGTGTCGTCGCAGCCGTAGCAGCTGCAGTAGCATAAGAGCATTGCGATGACCGGAAAGATTCGCTTCTGAGAGGGGGGAGACACTCTTGCCGTGCAATTCGTAAACGTATTCGAGGCGGCATGGTGTGTGGTGTATGAAGCTCTCCGTATGTAAGGGAAATTCGCCGAAAGAGGACGGCTCTTGGTAGATATGGCAGAAATAGACACCGAATAGCTCGAATACAGTATTTGAATGTGTACATTAGGTACAGAATTATTTCCCTGCAAAGTCCGAAGTTTAGCCTGTAACTAGTTCCAAGGAGAGGTAAATGACCACCAACAGAATTATTGAAAGGGGTTGGGGAGAGGTTCCGGGTATGAATATCTCATGCAGTATGTTCACAACAGGGAAGTAGACTGAGGAAGTGGGCTGTACTAGATCCGTCATCTGGGACACCTCTTGAATAAGAGCATCTCTTGGTTATCGAAATCTGAGATTAAATACTGGGAAAAAAAAGTCTGGTAGGGAAAGCAGTCACTTTCGCCCAAAGGCGAGGGAAGAAAAGACACCCCAGGAGAGCGGTCCTTCTGGAAAGTCTCACCGTTTGTTCACAAGGCAAACATTGGGATAGGGTTCCTGACATTCATTGGAAAGGCCCCGGACGCCTTCTGCTACCAATGGCATCCCGCGAGGGGGATGGTGCAAAGAAGACGGTCTCCATCTCTCCTCTTCTCAAGCGCCTCGCATATCCGTCAGCCGCCGAAATACAGGTGCAAGCATCAGAGATAGCGTCAGCTTTCGCGCTAATCTTCGAGGACCGACTGAGCGTTGTGCAAAGCACTGCGCTTCTAACACTTTTGCATTCCACGCGCAAGGACAAAGATGCTGCAGTTATCGCCCAATGCTCTCAGCGAATGCGGGAAGCCGCTAGCAAAATCAAAAGGCCAGCATTGCGAGAAGCCATCAGGGGACGGAATCTCAGGTTAGGACAGTACAGAGGAGGACTGGTATGCCGCTCAGGGTGTTGCTTTTCTCCATCTATGCTGATCTAAAAAAGTGTGACATTGTCGGCACAGGGGGCGACTCCCATTCCACCTTCAACGTCTCCACGACTGCGTCCATCATAGCATCGCCTTTTCTTCTGACTGCCAAACATGGCAACCGAGCACAAACCTCCATGTCCGGTTCCGCTGATGTGCTCAACGCCATTTCTCCCAAACCGCCTAAACTGTCTGCTCTCACCGCCGAGAAATTGCCCCAGATCTATCGCTTAACAAATTACGCCTTTTTGTTCGCGCCCAACTTTCACCCAGGAATGGAAAACGTAGCCTGCGTCCGAAGAGACCTAGGGATTCGCACTATTTTCAATCTCCTGGGGCCTCTAGCCAACCCGGTAGACTGGGCAATCGAAGCCCGTATCGTTGGAGTTGCATATCAGGAGCTCGGCCCAGTCTTCGCGGAAGCGCTACAGCTCTCCGGCACGAAAAAAGCATTGGTAGTCTGTGGCGCAGAGGATCTGGATGAGATCAGTTGTGCTGGGCCGACAAATTGCTGGATGTTGAAAGAGGTGCCCAATCCGAAATACAGGGGCCCTATGACCGAAGACGGCGAGGAGTATACGACAAGTGACGATGACGCACCATCTCGAACAATTTCTCGGCTTGAGAAGTTCCAGCTCTCGCCCGTGGATTTTGGGCTCCCAACTCATCCACTCTCCGAAGTGTATAGTGGAAAAATGCCGAAGGAGAACGCGGCCAAGCTGATGAGCATCCTAAGGAATGAGTTAAGGCCAGATGATCCGATTCTAGATTTTGTGCTGCTCAATACTGCAGCGTTGTTGGTGATCAGTGGAGTTTGTGAAGGCGACGAATGCAAGACAGGCAGGGTGGTCAAGGAACGAGGCGCTGGAGGACAGCGATGGAAGGAGGGCGTGCGGAAGGCCAGGTGGTGTATAGAGAGTGGCCAGGCCCTTCTCCAGTTAGAAAAATTCGTCGAGGCTACGAATTCATTCTAGCACGCAAATCTTCGTTGTTTAGTCCCCAAGATTAGCCAATTCCTGTGTAAGTTATCTCCCGAACGTCGTCGACAGAGTCTGCCATGCCACCACCCTGCACCTCAACGCCTTGCAAGAAGTCATTTTGGTCCTTGCACGCCCGCCCTTCAAAAGTCCGGAGTACCCTCCAACCCCTCTCCACTATCCATCAATCACCGCGCCTCAAATTGTACAATCCTAGCCATCAGTCAGCCCCTCTACACACCTACAATCTCTCACCCTCATTTCAGCAATCAGAAACTCACCTCTTCGTCCTCTCCTTGTAAAGCACCCTATGTCCACACTCCTTGCACCTTATCGCATCACCCAGGTTCAAGGCGACCTTGCTCGCGCACTCCCCGCACACGTAAGTCACGGAGGAAGACACGAGGGAGTCTGCGACACCGCCACCGTAGGAAGGTGTGTAGGCGGCGCCGGTAGAGTTTTGTTGCTGTGCACCGGAGCCGGCGATGCTGGAGTCGCGTTGGGAGGGGAGCTGGTAGGCTTCGCGTTGGGGTGTGGCCATGCTTGTGTGCCTGTTTTGGTTTGGGTTGGCTCAGGGACGAGGATGGGAATTCGATAACGTGGAGGGCAAAAGCCGAGGAAGAGTGAGTGGAGGTGAGGAAATTTTGCTCGGAGGAATTTGGGGGAAAGGATGATCGTACACAACTAACTCTTGACCAAGGTGGGAAATGGTGTGGTAGTATGTTTCTGAGTGAAGTGACAATACTTAAGAGAAATATCGCGGGAGCTAAACAAGTTAAATAGTCTCACTATAATTGTCATTTAGACCCTAGGCTTTGATTGAATCTAACACACATCTCATCTCAACTCTAGTTCCTCGTTACCTGCCAGTGTGAACTAATATAGTTGTCTGGCTTTTATGTTATGGAACCAGTTCTATATGATACCAGGCATGGAATGCCGTTTTGATGCATCAACAGCCGTGTAAAACACCATTTACACTACTATTCAATATGGCTTAAAAGCACCAAAGCTTTGGTTCTCGTAGCGTCCCGGTGAGGTGTGGCTCCAAATTGCCAATGACATGAACGTGCAAGTCTCATTCGAAGGCGGATGCCATTTAGAATGAGTGCCTTGGTCATCTCATGAAGAACATAAGCTTTTCTGGGTCTTCCATAAAATTCTTGACCATGCTTCCCATCCTCGCCAAAGTTGCTCCATCAATGATGCGATGGTCTGCACTCCAGCTGAAGTTGGCCATCTCTGCCCTTTCGACCAAATCGCCCTGCCCAAAGACTGGTACTGCTCGAGCCCTTCCGACTCCGAGTATGGCGACTTGGCCTTCGGTAATGATTGGCGCCACGACCGTGCCACCAATGTTTCCAATGTTACTTACCGTTATTGTGCCTCCACTCAGGTGAGCAGGTGAAAGCTTCTTAGCATTCCCCAACTGTGACAGCCTCCGGATCTCATAAGCTATATCGATGATCGAGAGGGTACCGACGTTCTTGACAACTGGAACGAGGAGCCCAGCGGGCGTATCCATTGCTATGCCAATGTTGTGGTTTCTACGATATATGAGCTGCGGCTTACGGAGATTGTCTGCTGTCTCTAGACGAGCATTCAGAAGCGGATTTTGGTTCAAAGAAACGGACACGGCTTTTAAGATGAATGCAAGAAGGGTGATGTTGGTATCTTGCGTCTCTCGTGACTGGTTAAGACGCTTGCGGAGGCCGGATAGGCGAGTGATGTTCACTTCATCACTATAGAGAAAATGTGGAATGGCAAGAGATGCTGTCATCGTCCGGAACATTTGACTTTGTACACGGGAGAGAGGGTGTACTGTCTCAGATTGTTCCGACTCCACTGCCTGTGTGGAACGTGCGGCTGAGCTCGATATAGGAGTTTCTTTCTGGTTCTCGAGGTATGCCTGGACGTCTTCTGTCAAGATCCTGCCTTCATTACCAGAGCCGTTCAGTTTGGAGATATCGATATTGTGCTGCTTCAATAGACCTCTCACTGCTGGTGTTGCAAGGAATGAACGTTCGCTTAGCATTTCATCGTTCCGATCCGCCTGCGCTGATGCTCTGAGCTGTGTTCCGCCTTCCTCACCCGCTTCTGCTTCTATCTTGACCTGCTCACCCTTTTCGTCCCTGTTTAAGTGTGACGGTCCGTTCTCTTGATGTTCTTGGCTGGTCTCGGCAGCAGAGCCCTCCTCCACCGGAAGACCATCGTCGATATCCGCAAGTGGAGCTCCAGTCTTGACCATGTCGTCCGCTTGAGCGTACAGCTTCTTGATTACGCCAGCGTAAGTAGCTGAGATCTCGACAGCTGCTTTGTCACTTTGCATTTCACACAGCTTGTCCCACTCCTCCACGCGTGCTCCTTCCTCGACGAACCACATATTGAGCATACATTCAGTTATGCCTTCACCCACATCTCCCAGCTTTTGTGTACGAATGGCTGACCAGCAGGCTCCAGATTGGAACTTTCTGCGAAAGAGAGGAGACTTATCGATCAGGCGTATCCTCGGAATGTAGTAGTGAGAATGTGGTAGGCCAACTGTGGACCTCACCGGCCAGCGCTTCATCTTCGCAACCCAGAGCAGGCCGCACACCGTTGTCACTTACATTTCTCAGCATTGACCTCATGGCAAAGCTTTTGAGGATCTGATGTTGTTTCCGGCGATAACCGAAGCGGCCACATATATCTTGGCGCAACAAACTGCGAGCCAGCGCCATACTACTAACTACTAGTAGCTAGCATGATGGAGGGAGAAGCATTTATGCACTCCTTTTCCAAAATACGTAGTAATACTCTATACGAGGATATGGCAACTCGGACGAGTCCGTTGGAGTATTATGGCAAGCAATAGTAGTACATTGTCTCTGAGGTCTAAAGACGTGGCTGTGCTGGTATTAGTATTCCGCATTAATTTTGGACACCATCCTTGATTCCACCACTATTGCCCGCAGGACTTCACGCCCATATTTTGCAGTACTAGACTGGTGGTTATTGTGTCTCATGGATCTGCACGAATGCACCAACCTCTAGTACCGCACCAGTCGAGTACTCACCGTCTAGCATGTTCGTCGTCTTGTTCGAACTCTCCACAGTTCTACTGACGCGATCATCTAGGCTTATCGCTCTACAAGGCATTGCTGAAACACAGCTTAACCGTCTCCACAACCCACTCTGGAGGCCTAAGATCACTCATCCGCTGCCGCTTCAAAACTGACCGGCTTTTACAATCACCTTCTCAAATCGCCAATGGGCTGAACGCCGGAAATGAGGTGCTCAAACTCTTATGCGCCTCTGCCCGGGGCGAATCGAGCTCCATTGCGAGGCTGAGTGAATTGATCGAATCAACTTTAGAGTTATCGGGTATCACCGAAGCATATCGTAATTCTCTTCGTCTCATAAAGAAACCTCCATCCTCTCGTCGAGCGCCAAAAGCCAACAACCTTCCTCTCAGCGCCAATAAAACGCTGCAGTCCCGTCGTCCAGATTCAAGTCCAATTTTCGAGCGGCCTCTCCCTCTGTCTCAAATCAGAGGCGGCAAGCGCCGAGTCCCAAAGTTTGTGGCTGCGCAGGGCGTGCCTTTCTTACTCTATTCGAAGCCACAACCTCAAAGTTTGGGTAGATTACTGAGACAGAAGATAGCTTGGCAACACAAGAAGTGGGATCAACGAACAAAACTGACAGAAGAGACAATACCACTGGGAGTATGCGAGGATGCTTGGGATGCTCTTGTTGCTTCCCAGGAGGAAGTAGAAGGGCATTCGAACAGGACGTCAGTCCCTGAGGATAGGGAAACCGGCATCAGTGGTGATTCCACATCTTGGAATTCAGCTCCTCAATTTGCAGCGGTTAGCGTTGGTGACAAGATTAGAAGCTTCGAGCGAAGGAATCTTGAAACAGGTCGGCGCCTGTTTGAGATCTTGAAGCAGGAAAGGGTTCTGGTAGCCAACGAAAAGGAGAAAAAAAGTTCCCACCAGGTACAGAATACGGTTATCTAGAAGGGTGAATAAGGTGCGTGCCGGCGCCAAGAACTCCCAGTCCAGGCGAGAGAGCAAAGACATCAATGAGAAGTGAATTAGGTTGAAATTCAATCGGCTGATCTAACGATACTTCAAGATAAGCAGAAGAGCAATTGTGGCAGAATAAATCTTGAAAACCTATCAATTCTAGCTTCAGTCAGAGGCCGGTTCTTACATCTTGGGTTTCTGCATACAGAGAGCTTCGCTGAATTGCACCGATTTAAACAAATTGAGGAACTGTCCATCACCGTCCACATTTGGGATTGTTATATACCTGGCCTCCACGCCAGGATCATGCCCCCTCGGCCACAATCATGGGGGCCCTCATCAAATAAAGACCGCTGCTACTAATCCGCATAACAACAAATCTGCTAAGCTCGAAGACGCGCTGGCTGTAAAGCCATGTTCGAGCCGACGATTCAGGGACAAAGATTGGAAGTGTGAGAATCTTGGTACCAAGGAGATCTGGTTGCAGTCGAAAGCAATTCTTCCCGAGCCACAAAGTCAGAGCCTTCATTCCCACTGAGAAATCAGCCGGATGACAAGGTCAAGAACCGCACGAGCCGGACAGGCATTGGAAAGAATTTTGTGCATATGAGATTATGAGGTGGAAACTTCCAACCAATGAGCAGCTTGGATAAGAATTATGACCACGAAGATTAGGTCCCTGATGCTGCAGCTGCTGCAAAGATCTCTTTACGTACAACCGTGATCTGTGGATGGACGATGAGAGATGCCGAGCCACGATCGCGGAAATTCCAGCACTTTTAGATTGGGGAGACGAATCAAGCGGAACTGTCTGCCGTCTCCTTGTGCAGCCTGAAACCAAATCAAATCTGCTCACATTTTCTTCTCCCTGCAAGCGGCGCGACATCATCATCACCTTTCGCAATGCTATCATCGGAAGCTTCTAGCGGAAATCGGCGTATGTCATCTGTAAGCTAAAATAGTACACTGATGACTTTCCTCCATCTTAGAGGACCAGAGATGCCCATGCCAAACACGGCTTACAGTCCTTCCGTCGATCGCAGGCGGGAGGGGGATGATTGGCAGCATATGATTTGGCTTCTCATCACTGGATCTCCGGTCATCAAACCGCAATCTTCACGCACTGTGTCAGCTAGATTCTAGCTACAGTAGGTGCATTGGTCTATGAGGACGTTTGGACCCAGGCGAGCATCGGTTCCGTCAGGGTTGACGCCACCGGTTGTACGACATGTAATCCGAAAACACTGTGGAATGCTTCTCTGCGAAACAGAATCCTGCAGTTGCCATAGAGTACATCAGTTCCTGGTGTTGGAACCACTAGGTTACCAAAGTAGGGTAGTGAAAGGTGTGCTACCCTTTTCTCTGCTGAAACAGCCATGGTTATCGACTCTACACCCTCTCGTCCATCTTGCATATCACCTGCGAGTCAGTAGTGGAAGATCTCTGCAGTGCCCGGGACTCAGCGGACACCGGATGAATGGTAGCGAATCACATTTGACCTGTCATAGCTGCGCAGGTCTGCTTGGGAGGAATGCACGTTTCGGAAGTTCCGGCCTACTCTCGGCGGCATTCTTTAGACTCGCCCCCTCAAGAGACAACACCCAATCAAGCCGTCCCATCTCGAAAGCCCTTTGTTGTTCTCCTTCTTTTACATCTGGGATACAATCGCAAACGCGGCCGTTGCTCATCGATTGCTGGCTTTACACAATGTTCTTGCCGCATATTTGTCAGATTGTGGAGCACGTTCTTTGCAGGCTCTGCCCAGGCATGTAGATAGATGCAGGACGGTAAACCCGACCCGGATCAGACTTGTGGTTGACGCACGATATACTTTCACTTGGGTCCAAAGTAATGTGCAGCTAAACCAATAGTCTCCATGCAAGCCTGCGAAAACACGGGACTCGCGCGCACGGCGGGGCACCTGGATCAGTCTGGTCAAGACGCCAAATAGGTTTCGCGCTTGCATCGATCGCCGCTGTCAGCTTAATTGTCACTATTATGTATGTGTTGTCTCGAGCATTCGGCTCCTACGTAGTAAGTACGTAGTAGGCCCGCCGAGGACATGGTATGACAATCTGCTACATAACTAGTAGTTGGTGATTTTCATCATTCTAACGATCCCCCTACTCAATACGTTTGAGTATGTCTGCATATGCCGGTAGTGGAGCTAGCGTGGAAAATATTTCGAACATTTCCAGGAATTGCCGACATACAAGCTCTATGGACCATTCCACTCTTTAGACCAATATATATCCAATGCAGCGGCGCGATGGAGAGCAGAGACTCTTGTGTCTGCGGTCGACGCTTCCGGACAAGATGCTGCGGTCCGCTCCCACAGTTATTATGTATGACATTGAAGGTTTTGCTCTTGGTGCTAGAGCAGTGAGCTAAAGTGTCATGAACGCTAAAGACCAGTGAACGTATCCCCAATCAAAGGCGCCATGAAGCCGCCAGGTGTGGAGACGAGCCTTGAGGGCGAAGGACCTGGCCGCTCGGCCCTTGGTAGTGGCGTACGTACTGGGTTTTCAACAAACGCTCATCCTTGCAAATCAGACCCATTAACCAGTTGGAGTACGGCTAGAAATGGGACACAGGATGGCGGATCTTTTTGGTCGATCGATGACAAGTGGCATGGATATTTGGCCCGAAGGAAGCGAAACAGACGAAAGGAGATACTCGTTTGTAATAACTTACTAGAATAGTGTCTATCAACGCAAGCGAGCGGGCGGACTAGACAAGGCTTGCTTGTCAGGCTAGGCCACATTTCACTTGTTGGCTTGTCTGCCGTGGTCTGGGTATTGGTATGGAGCAGTTTCATTTTTGCATTCTTGGTGATGTCCACGCAACAAATGCCTCAGCAGCGTCGAATACACGGAGCGAAAAAAACCTGTTTTAGGTTGTATGACTATGAGATTCGTATGTCAGAAATGTCAGAAATGTGAGGCTGTCGCAACCTAAGCAAATTATTGAATAGAGCCACTGGTCTGTCGAACCCGCATCGACCACGGAAATATGTCCGTAGAGCAACAAGTAGAGGATGAATAGTAATGACTATAATGCCGTTCATAACAGTGATTCCTTTTTAGACTCCGACGAGTTTCGGGACCAGACGCCCGAGGAATTCTATCTTGCATCTTTACGGGCCAGTTGGTGTTGCAACCTTGTAAGGCGACTACGATGCAACTTACTACAGACTCGATAGTAGTAGTCATCGTCTATTACCACCACTGGCCATAGGCTACAGGCAGAATCACGTCAGCAGCTCTGGGATGTCCCTCTCCCCCGGGCCAAAAGTCAAAATACAACAATCCTCCCGCGGCATCCTGGTTCCTGCTCAAGCGCAGCAAATCCTTAAGAGGTCCAAAAAAGACTTAGCTGCGACGAGTACCAAACTTCTTTTCTCTCTCGTAACTCAGAAACCGGTAAATCAAGAACGCGGACACGAATCAGCATCGCACAAGCCCTTGGCCAATTGCTTACCAGCTGACCTTTCTCAGGCTGCTTCGGTGCCACCACACTACGAACAAGGACTACGGCATCCTCGCTGCCCACTCACAACTCAGTATTCTCCCCTACCTGGTCGCTGATAGACGTGAACAATTGCGGCAACTCGCCCAGAAACACCCTACATCCGCAACCTTGCATGATAAGTTCGACTTCCTTGTCACGCTCCCAGAAGCTGCTGCTTGCTCTTTTTGCTTTCTTTCTCTCCCATCTCTGGTGACCGTTTCTGAAACTGAAACATCGACCCAATCCAGTCATTCATGAGGCGCCAGAAATTCATGTCAGGTGAAGTCACATTGTGAAGAGGAGGGCTTGGGCAGGTTGATCATCTCATCTCCGCGCAGATCATTTACTATTTGCCACCAGAGGGAAGGTCATGGCCCGATAGGCAGACGCAGAAGCACAAGCACACAAGCACCCAGCAGCAGAGAAGCACAAGCCGCTTCTGCCGCCTGCAACTCGAACCACCCCTCTTAGTTCCCGCCGCAGCCTAAGCTTTACCCATCAACCACCGACCGTCGATTTGCAGCGCCCGCTGCTTGCCCGCATCACTGCCACTGGTCGTATTCGCTGTCCCATCTTGCTGCTACAGCCAGCCAACCATCTCAATCCAAAATAGTGCTGTGCGATCCCATTGATCTTTGTCGCATCGCTGCACCACAGACAAACGCAGCCATCCCTCCACCATATTTTTGTCTGCTCGCCCAGGTTTGGGTGTGCTTCGGGCAGCCTGGAGGATCTGGTTACGCTGCGCCGAAACGGCCCTTCGTGGCCTCACATTCAATCAGCTCTTTGGCCGGGTGCCATGTACCAGACCACTCCTTCGGTCTCGAGATCGCTCAACGGCATGGGATCTGAGTTGATCGCTGGATCTGGTACAATCAATCCTGCCGCCTTGAACTCCTCTGGTATGACCAATATATCTCTCGTTCTCTCTGCTTCTTATCGAATCGGTAGTGTACCTGCTCAATGCAAAATACTTAATCTCAACCTACCCCAGCCGTTGTATGAACACTGCATTATCGCAAATGGCCAAAGCTGACCGAGTGTGTGTAACAGCAGGACTGCCACCGTCCTCCATCGAACCCAGTCCTCGGGGCATCAAGCGAAGTCGCTCGCCGGACCAGTACGGAGAATTGGCTGGTGAGGAGGATGTTGACGGTACGTGGAGCATATCGGGTGGTTCTGATGCAAATCGTGTCATACTCAGCTGCAAAGTTGCCACCTACCCCTTAGCATAGGTCGTGCTTCTCTCTCCCACGCTTCTACTGACTTCAAGGCGTATTGCAGACGAATCAAAGCGCCGGAAGAGAGGTAGGCCACCAAAGACACCACGCACATCTGGAGAATTTTCAAGCGTGCTCCGTCCCGATCACTCTCAGTCGGTCAAAACAACTCCAACTCAAATTCAAACACCACAAGTCAAGACGGAACCAGCAGTCCGGCCTATCACTGTTACGCCATCACAAAGCTCACCGTCTGCACCATCCAAACAGACGCCTACTAAGTCTGCAGTGAAGGCATTACCGACCGTCAGAGATCACACTAGTGACCAGTTAGGCCCGGAGGGCGATGAATACGTCCCAAGAGAATTCGACGAGGCTGGTGAAAAGAAAGTGGATGAGCTGGGCTATCCACAAGGTGGACGACTGTTCAAATGTCGAACATTTACTGTGCCCGAACGAGGTCAGAAGCTTTTCATGCTTGCTACAGAATGTGCACGGGTGCTCAACTATCGAGACTCGTATCTCCTGTTCAACAAGAACAGGTCACTTTATAAGATTATTGCGACTCAACCGGAGAAGGATCATTTGATTAGCCAAGAGATTCTGCCATACTCTTACAGGTCACGACAGATCGCCATCGTCACAGCCAAGTCCATGTTTCGTCAGTTTGGAAGCCGAGTCATCGTCAACGGACGAAGAGTTCGTGATGATTACTGGGAAAGCAAGGCACGCAAGCAAGGCTTTACTGAAGATGACCTGGCTGGAGAAAAGCGACCGGGAGGTGCAAAAAGTCGTGAGGCGGCCGCAGCTGAAAGTCAGCTCCACGCACTACCAACTTTTGCTCAGGGCGACATTGTCTACAGTAATGGACCGGTCTTTGACGGCCTGCACCCGCATCAGCTACCGCCCGGCCTGGCAGCTTCACTTGGTCCTCCTCCCATGATGAATATTGCCACGAGCAAAGACTACAGCAACATTCCAAGGCCGCGGCAAGAGATGACTGGTGTGCCGTATCAGGAGAGATCTCAGCCGAGTAGCGCGGCGGAGATCATGAGTCAGGCTGCACAAAGCGCTGAGTTCAACAAGTCCGTCAACCGGTTGCGAGTCTATCGTAGTAAAGGTCTCGAGGAGTTCTGGAATAAACCTCGAGAACTGACTGCCACAACACCACAACCGCAAGCCGCCGAACCAGTCGCTGGTAGTACGACAGCTTCACAACCATACACCTCTCCACGATTTTCTGCCAGTGATGTTCCGTCAAGTCATCCTCCTAGCTTGATGCCACAACAATCACATCATCCTACGCCATCACACACGAATGCATCGTCTTATGCTCTTCAACAAAACGCTGCCCAGTCTCCAGTTCATCGACAAAGCAGCCTGCAAGCCTCGATGCGTGAGTCCAGTCAATACCAACCGCCGCCGGGTCTGCATCGCTCGTCCTCCAACGTCTCGCTCACTCATGGACAACAGACATCGGGTCTCCAGCAGAACCCCTACGGCTACCCTTCGTCTTCTCATCAACAACAAATGTGGGGTGGCCCTCCACCACAACCTCAAGCGTCCCCGGGGCTAAACAGACTCCACAACCCACAGTACTCGCCATCTTTGCAAAATCAGCAAGGCCAGCAGATGTCATCTCCTGTACAAAGCCATCACGCAAGCCAGAGTCCCCATCCTCCTCACCAGATGCATCCGTCGCAAACGGTCCACCACCAATCGAGTACAACCAGTCTACCAGGCCAGCAGATGTATGCCACTGGTTTACCTGGCATACAGGGCGGTCAACCTGGCTATCAATCGATGGGAGGTGCAAGACAGATGTATCCAGGTAGTCAAAACCAACAGCAATACATGCAGCAGCAAAATCAGCAGAGTCAGACGAGTGGCATGCAAGGCTGGCCGGCTGTCACTCAGGGACAAGGAGGAGGTTGGAGCGGTTATTGAGGTAGCTGTGGCAGTCAAGAGTGGGATCACACTTTACGTTAAGGAAATTCAGAACTCAAATCTGGACGATACATGCATACCGAATACATAATGGGTCTCATCAGATTTGCTACCAAAATTCTTACATATCACGGTTTGATTCTCTTCGCTTCGATTACTCAGTTTGGGATGGATTGGCTATCTCCACGAGTCCTGAATTCTGAGAATCGTTGGGTCATTCGAATACATGTTGCTTCCGGGGTATTCGGCCTCCAACTTGACCTGCTAGGGACTGGAGTACCTCGATCACGTTTGCATAATCTGTCTGTCCATCAGCAGCGTTCGTCATATCATGGTAAGGCGTTAGAACGTCTTGGGTTGGATGTCAATACTGTCAGGATGGAATGGGGGTGGACATACACGCATGGAACGAGTCGTACCGGGGTTTTCTCTCTTTCGATTCTTTCTGCCCTTTCATTTCTCTGTACAAGTACTAAGTACCCTTTTTATCCTCGAGAGCAGGTGTGGTTAGCGGATCCACCTACCAGCTATACAGGCAGCACACGAGAGACACGTTAATGGCAGTTTCTGCGTAATGGTCTACCGTTGTCTGCGAATCATACCCTCTTCGCTTCTTCATACATAGGATAGGGAGGTCTGTTGATGCGTCGGGGCATTTCCAGGAGTTATCATCTACATCTACATTATCTACAATATCTACATCTTGGTTCTGAGATAACTTACCTATTTTGATATATATAATGCAGCCAATTCAGCAGTCCTTCGCTTTTTTCTGATCACCTTGCCGCTATCAAATGTCTCTTTCCCAAAAACCTTATGTCGATATTGTGGGCTGGTGCTTTTGGTCATCGCTATCGCATGTCCCCCTTCTGGAAAACGCTCCTCTTCTCCACTTATTTCCACTCTTCCTCTGCCGAGTTTGCTCTATTCAAGCATGCCACCTGCAATCTTGGACGACCTCTGCTGTCCCGAACCCTCAACGGTCTCCTTCCATCCCCCTTCCTTTTCTGACGACAGCACTCGTCAGATCCTGAGAGTAGCAACAAGGTCGTTGGAGACTTCAATTGTTTCCCACCCTCCCTCTATTCCTTCACACGTCCTGCGCCTCCTCTCTCTTCTCTTAGCAACTGCCTTCCATCTCTGATCATTCCTACTTTCCTACACCCGATCCTCGCTCTACCTAACCCAAGCACGCTTTATCGCCGTGTCTCTGCTGGGTCATTCAACTTCCTCTTTGTAATCCAACTCTCTGCGCTTATAGCAAGTGGACTCTTCTAACTTCACGCCCACTTTTTACCCAGATCTCGCGCTCTCACCCATCCATTCATTCATGGATTCAGAAGGATGGCACGTTCTGTCATCTGGGCCCCCTCCGTCCCGGTCCCATAATTCACTCGTGACTTGATCAGCCCAGACCAGATCATGCCCGCTGCTTCGCAATTAGTACAAGGACTGAGCCGAGGAAGCCGACGCTCGTCATACTATCACATTGTACACACAGAAGCGAAACGGAGGTATCAGCCGCGAGAGCATGGTTGGAAGAAGACCGTAAGCGAATAAAAAAGGAGCACACAGACTTGTCGGGAGTATGACGGATAACTCGTGCCGCCCATGGAACATACATATGTATTACGTCGAGTCATCTATACGTGTACGCTTCCAATGGTGATCCATCCGGGCGCCAGCCTGGATTCCATCTCATCCTGCTAGCCCGCATGGCAGTACCCATTCCCTATTCTATGATAGCATTGCTATCGTCATCGTCATCGTCCGGCCAACCAGCCCCCTTCTCCCACAACCCTACATATAGAAAGCATTAAAAGCTAACGATATCATTCTCCGCCCCGGTGCCAAAGCCAGCACCGGAAGCCTGGAAGGAACAGGCGGTATCTGTGCAAATGAGAGGGAAGAGATGAAGTTGTTCTCCCGCCCTTCCGTCACATTGATAACGAGCTGTGGGCATGCGAACTTGAGGGAGGAAGTCAGCAGTAAAGGGGAAGACGGGTCGATCAGAGGACAGTTCGAAAATGCAGTATACGAGTAAGTCAGGAGAGGAGAAAAAAAGGAAGGAAGGCATCTCAAGCAGCGGCAGAGGTGAAGGATCGATGTCGCTTCTTCCTTCCGCCCAAATCCCATGCCGGCATATGCGCAGAGGCGAGTGCAGCATCCAAAGAACCGCATGGGAGACTGTAAAATCGCCGGGCCTAGCTGTAGATTCTAGGTGAAGTACTTTTCGTATTGGTACTCCCGCGCGCCCGCGCGGTCTGGTAGCCCCAGAACGACATCGCCATATCCATATCAGAATGAGCATCTTGGGGGGGAAGGGGGGCGCTGATCGTGTTTAGTCTGGCCACGCCGTGACGTCCTGAGCGACCCACCACCACCCAAAAAACCGATCAAAAAGAAACATAAACCGCAATCAAACACCGAATGTCCGAGGACGGACATCTGGTCTATTTAAAAAAAACCCCAAAAAAACAATCCCACTGTTTGTGTATCGCTTCTCAACCAGCCCGCCCACAGGGGCAAAAAGAAAAAACCAACTTCCTGGGTTCCCAACACCACAATGACGAATTTTTCCATGGGCCGGATGTGTTGTTAGATTGTTCGCCCTGTCAGCCCTTCGGAATATTTCGAAACCTTTTTGAAGACTTTTGGTGGGTGTATTATGGTTGTGGTGGTGGTGGGTTCGAACAGCGTTTCTGGTTGAGTCATCTCTCTCTCTTTCTTTATTATTTTTGCTTTTGATATCGTGAGGACAGTGGTCATGTCACGAGTCGAGGAAGATGAAAAGCACGCTGCTTCTCAATGAAGAACAGTGATGCAAGACCGCAAGGGCTTGTCAGCTGGACGTGGTAGGAGCCTGTGGAAATGCAATGCTGGGATTGGCCATGCGTTCGTTAAAAAAGGGAAAGTAAAAACGAGTCAGAGTGACCTGTTTGAGGGCTTCCCAGAACGAAGACGCCCTATTCAACGAGAGCTGAATATGTTGTGGAAAATAACAATTAGACATTTATTGAGTATCAAGGACTGGAACCTTTTGGCTTCCCTCAGCAGTAGTGCTGACATATCCTTTCCGTGTGTAGATATGCTCGTATTCCTTCCCCCCGAGCTCCTGTCCTCACCATCTCAAAATCATCCAGGTAGATCCTGTCCCATCTATCATAACATGCAATGAACTTCTCTCTTAGGTAGAGAGACCGATGTTGGTACACTGGGACCCGTTGCAAGGTGCCCCACAATTACTCAAAAGGCAAAACGAGCGCTAGAGCGACAACAAAAAGTGGCAAAATTCGCTTTACACGCACAACATATTTTCCAACATTCCCTGGCCTCTAGAAGGCCGTTCCAGCGTGTATTAGAACATATTAATGATAGTGGGCCAGTGAACAGAAATGCAAGAAAGACCGGGTTAGGCGGCGACATTTCCGCCATACAAGACAACCCGAGACAAACGCAGTATTGGTATCAAATGCAGGAAAAAAACATTAGCACAGCTGCTGACGAATCGTTCAGAAGTCGCTGGGTGTGGCATTGGCAAAGACGTAGTTCTTTGGTTTTTGTTGTGCCATTTGCTGGGCTGCGCGAGCATGCTCTTCCTTTTGTCTAGGAAATTCTTGAATGAAAAACTCGGTCTGTTTCTGACCATTAGGCGCAGGAGCTAGTTTCAATTGGCTTCTGTTCAGCATGACGCTGTGTGGCGAATGGACCTGGGTATGAATGCCCCGAGCTATAATCATGCATGACAGGTGAGACGTAGGTTTGCTGCGACATATGGGCTGACGGCGAGAGTGTGGCCATCTCTGGAGAGGTCAACGGCGCATCAGACCAACTACTAGCTGTCAACGGTCCGGCAGAGTATGGTGGAGTGTAGTCAGGGAAGACGGCATATTGAGGTGGAGCTGACATCGGTGGCATCATAGATTGCATGTGTGGTGGGGGAAACAATTCCGATTTCATCGGTGTCGATGGAGGAGACACTATGTTGAATTGAGATGGTTGTCCATTTAGGAAATACTGGTGAGGTGTCTCCTGATCTTGTTCCGTGAAGAGCGGCTCCTCAAGCGTTGGTAGCCGAGTTCTCATGAGGTCTTCGTTGGAAAGCGGAGTGGGTGGTGCACGACTTTGTTCCAAGTCAGATCGCTGAGAGTATTTCTGCTTTTCGACCAGATGATTGAACTCTTCAGCTTCTGCAAATGTAGAGATGTTGAGTGGCGATCGTTGAGCAGAACCAGGCTTCCTGATGCCAGCGTACGTGACGTTGAGATTCTGACCTGTGGACTTAACATGGCGTATTGGGTGCGCATTTTGTGATTGTCGACCGAACCGGAAAGTCGGCGACATTGCTGATGACCCGCCATAAGAGTAGCTTCGTAAGGCAGCCGTGCCAATAGCAGCAGGCCGAGGCCTCTTTCGTCGAGCAGCTATGTCAACATGAGTTCCTGGCTTCCTGAACTGCTCAAACTGGTTGGTCACAGGGGATCGCATAGGTGGCGTGCCAGCAAGCACAAACTGGTCGAGTGTCGCAGTTAGATCATCCGATGACGAGCCCCTCCTGGAAGATGGGAAGTGTGGCATTGGTAGTGGATCGGACTCGTGTAACGCCATGCTGCTGGGAGGAACGTGAGAATCAATGGTTGGCGTCGGCATAGAGCTGGTCCAGACATCGGACGACATCGAGTAGGCTTGGATGGCCTCTGGCGAGTCGAATCTTGGTTGCCCAACATCATGAATCGTGTGGTTCTCGGAAGATTGGCCGTTGAATCCAAAATCAAATTCGCTCTCTTCAGAACTTTGCGACGATAAATTCCAGTGACCAGACAACGGTGCAGTACGACTCCACTCCGGAGAAGGATGAAGCTGGATGTGACTTTGTTCGTGCGAGAAAGAAGAGGATAGAGGGTGCTGAGGATCCCGGCAAGGCAAGGATGTAAAGCATTGCCCGGGGTTCTGTTTATGCTGACTGCGAGCATTGTCGGCAGCATTCAAGGCGCGCTGCAAAGAGGCCCAGCTTGCTTCCTGGACGGCATCGCGAGCGGGAAAGACCTCTGCAGAGGATGGCGTGGTCGACGAATGACTTATACCGCCGGCGGAGACCGGCGCCAGTGACCTTGAGGTAGCGGCAGCCGTGTTTATTTGTAACGGGATTGTGTAGCCTGTGGGAATGTGGTGGTCATTGTTCCAGGCCTCACCAATACCCATGCCCTGTGTCATTTCGAATTCTTCTTGCTTTTTCATCTGCTTCGCTTTTGCGCGTCGATTCTGGAACCAGTTCTGCAATAGCAATGGTTAGCGCATGGGTAAATGGAGAGGAGGGATACGTACTGCGACGCGAGGCAATGTCAGTTTGGTTTGCAAAGCCAGTTGACGCTTGACGTTGCTGTTAGGCTTTGGGTGAGCTTGAAATTGAGCCTCGAGCACTTCGACTTGTTCTTTGGTCAGTCGTGGTCGAGTCAAGATCTCGGTGCATCCTTCGAAGTCCTCATGATCAGGAGTAATGGAACCGAAATCGGCGTATTCAGCGTGCTGTGGAGCTGGATAATAGGCCTCCACATGTTGAGGTTGGACAGGGTAACGTTCATAGGATAGAGAAGGTTGATTAGCATGGTGCTGCTGCTGCTGCTGCTGCTGCTGCTGCTGCTGTGGTTGTTGCTGGGAAGCAACGTGGTACTGGTAATGCTCATGGGGGAAGTCCATTGGTGTCATGCTGAAACCTGGAACTGTCCGAACTGAGGCAATTGACAATTGAATAAACCAAAGCTGTCAATGTTTCATGGTGGATCTCGACGGAGCGAGGCTCGCGCAGAGAGAGATTGAGAGCTGCCGTGTGCCCAAGGGGTGGAACCAGGCGTGAGATGAGAAATTTAGGAAGATTACTACATTCGATCAGGCCAATATATTGGAAGGTGACCAAGCTCTAGGAGGGAATGGCTGGAGAATTAAAGCGACAGGGGAGGAGTGATAAAAATGAATGTACACGACTGATTCGAGGAAGCACAGACTCAGGAGTAGAGCTCTTACTATGCGATTCAGTGTGGAAAAGAAGGAGAGGTCAGAGCCCCAGAAGGATGACGGGTTAGTTTGGGAAGCCGATTGGGAAGAGGGAAGGACAGGAAATGGGGATATTTCCAGGAGGATAGGGAAGAGGAGGCACGGCAGAAGTCGGTCTGTACCGTAGGGAATTCCGGCCATAGGGAAAGGATGGTTTACTTTCCTCCTAGCTTGCAGATTGCTGCAGCGGCGCCAGATGGAGGAAGAGGCTCGAACGGTTGATGTTCCCTGTCTTGGTGCCACCTGGGCTGGTTTGGGTGGTGGGCTGCTGGTTCTGCTTTTCCGCCTTTGAACGTTGGGCAGGCTTAACTAGAAGCCAATCCAGTAAGTCTTCAGGTACCCGGTAAGTTTAGCTGATCCCTAAGCTGAAAAGAGTCAAGGTGCAGCAGGCGAGGTCCCTGGGGACGGCTTCCGACTGTGAAGCTTAAGACTTGACCACTAATCTGCCGGGTGTGGGGCGGCAAATGAAGCCAAAACTCGACGAGTTCAGCTGCGCCTGGACACTCACTCTCAGTCAGACTCTAAGTTTGTTCTGAGTAACTTTGACCTAAAGGGCGAATCTGGCATGCTCTCCACCCCCAAAACTCAGAGACAATTGCGCAGAGGCAGTCAAGATCCATGCACCTAGCGGGCCTATCCAGGTCGATCGTTTCTCAGCTGCTTTTCATCAACCCTGGAACATGGACCGTGATGCCAATGGACCAGGGCGCGTTCCTGCAGGCTGCAGCAGCTGGCAAGATAGTCGCCACCCCTCTTGTACCTACTACGGACTCAACTCCTCTCCTTCCAAATATCTGCTTATGGCTGACGCAAACTGAAGCTTGCGCGCCGCTCCCTGTCAATCTAGTCAGAGAACGAGATAGTGTCAACAAGCGAGGAGACTGTGTATGAAACTAATACATCATGATCGACGAGTCCTTACTCCCGCACGCAGCTATCGAGTAGATCTATCCGCGTCCTATCCACGTCCTATCCACGTCCTATCCACTAATCAGGCCAAAGATGGACGACAAAGGCTGCATCTGATGAGTATCTAACCTGTACTTGGGCTTGTCCACAACGATGGTGGCGATGGAAGAACAGGAAGCTGAGAAGAATCTTCCAAGTTGGTACCATAGTACCCAGTAATCTCCACCACTGTCGCATTTGGTTAGCAGGTCAGTAGTGGATCCGATTGACATCGGCAGAAATCGTCATGTCTTCGAGTCATCTCAGGTGGTCTCACATCACCGACACCCTCAGGTGTCTGGCATCGAGAATTCCCCGGTTTCGGTCCGTTGCTGTATAAGGAATGCTGTGATTTTCTCGGATTGTTCCTGACGCTCGGGTCGCTTGCTGGCCCAGATCCCCTGATTAGGTGTTAGCTCCAACTCTCCTTTGTACCATTTCCTCATCGAGGCATCTGCTCAAACTCTAAGCCAAACCTTAACTAGAAGCATTTGCATGCTACCTCGTGCAACCCTGCATTGCATCCGCACCTCTCAGCAGATCATCCTCCCCCCCTGGACCCTTGAAAGATGCGCCGGCATCAACATTGGAGCTCAATGGCATATCAATCGCACCAAGTTGCGATTGAAACTCAAGATCTTTCTCATTTCCGGATCGACGTCAATCAAGATTCAAAGAGCTATCCATCACAGCAGCTATCCACGTTCCTGCATATTTGCCTTGGATGTCTTGTGCCACTTCATCCGGCAGCTAGAAATAACCAACTAGCCAATCATCTTCTCGATCACTCTGAAGAGAGTCATGTGTTTGTCCGTTCTTGAAGCGGCGCTGTGGTTGACATGGACTAGGTATAATGCACTTTTGGCAAACTATGTAAAGTATGGCGAGAATTTAAGTACTGTTTCCTGGGAGAGACAATCTCGCTCCTGATAAGGTCAAGGCTGAGGTCTAGAATATTGGCTCTGGGATCAGAATGCCTGCGCCGTGCTGCACATTGGAGAGCTGACCAGTAGCAAGGGCAGAACCTGCTACGCGAGAGAAGCAGCTCGCTATACCTATTACACATTGAACAACTTGTGTCGTGGTCCTTCCTGCTCGCCCTGTACTGATAGTTAGCAGATGGAGCTGTTGTCATTCGCAGCACGAGTCATCCCCAATCTCAATACGGGATCTGACAGCATGGTCGATCAGCAGTGGCAAAAGGTTTAGCTACCATTGCTTGGTCTGAATTGTGCGACTCTGCTCATGTACCGTCAAGAAAAGGCACCGGCACTTGTGATAGGTCGTCCCAGCGTGAACGCACATTCGTTCCTTGGTCAAGCTTTCCAATGACCTCCCAATTTCTCGACATGGGGCCTTGCGCTCCATTCCCTCTACGTCAAGCTCTGCATGCTGCAGCCAATCATGGCGCTGGGCGCACGTGGCCAGCCTTCCTTCTACTATGTGTTCGGTGGTATTATTCCAAAAACCCCCACAAGACAACCAGGAATTAAATCCACTGAGAAATGGTGCTGATCGCTTGCCGCTCATAGGATCATCGCATCGCGAATCTCAACGTCAATGCTCCCATTGGTGTATCGCTTTAACGCCAGACTTCGCAGGTCTCGGACAATCCAGTCAGCACCGGCATCCCTCACCTGATCAAGGTGATGGGTTGTCAGCAACCCCACCACCTTGAAGCCTGCAGCCTTCCCGGCTCTGATACCGGATGGCGCATCTTCCACCACTAACAACCGCTGCTCGTCGCCCAACCCCAGTCGCTCTCGTCCAAGTAGATAGCAGGAAGGGTCAGGCTTTCCGTTTTCAACGTCCTCGGCCACTATCATGTGCTTTGGATGAACAAGTCTCATCACTTGAATCCAACCATTGGCCAAGGCTCTAGTTCCAGACGTGACAATGGCCCAAGGTGCCTCCCACAGATCGAGAGTAGAGAGGAGACCCCTTGCACCTGGTACCTCAACAGCATCTTGACCGAAATCCTTGGGAATCAACCCCTCCATGTGGCTAACGTCTGGCAAAGATTTAGAACGCGCTCTTTCTCTAGTTAGTGCAAACTCTGGGAGCTCGCTTACAGTCCCAGTTGGCTTTCTTCTCGTCATACAGCTTCAGCACATCAATGCTTCTTCGGCCATGTGAAGTAGCAAGAATCACATTAGGGTCAACACCCAGCTCTTTCGCAAGTCTGGATCAAGAAATGATCAGCTCCTCTCGTTGCCAACTTTCGCTTTCAATGGGTCGTCTCACTTATGCCAATGCTTGACTATAGCATCGGTGCTGTCTATGATGGTTCCTGACAAAGCATGAGCATCTATTGAAGCATAGTGGTGGGAACCCGGAACATCTTGTACCGTCAAAATCAAATAATAGACCTCTGAAAGAGTGTACTTCGGGAGCCGTGGAGAAGGAGGGTTCAGGCAGAGCAATGAATCCCATCATGAATCGATTGTAATGCTTAAAGTATATTGTGCAAGAGAAACGGAGCCCGTATTGAAGCGTGATGTGATTATCCGAACTTCTCTGCTTTGGGTGCAATTTGCATCCTCTCGCCAGATTGACCACTCAGTGGTTACGGATGAAGTTTTATGGCGACGCCCTTGCCCCTCAAGGAGACTATGTGACGCATCCCGGTAGAATCCCGGTAGAATCCCGGTAGAATCCCGGTCAGTTAACTGACATGCCGACAGTGCCGCATTGCTTATCATAAGAAGGGTAGCTACAGACATGAGCTAAGTGCCGTTAGTGGAATTGACCGCTATTCTGTCAAATGACCATCATACTAATATGATAAGAGAAGCATATTTTGACCATACTGTGGCTATATTTTCAACAAAATACGTTGTAGATAATTAGATTTGATTGGATTACGGACGACTAAGCTGCGTATCTTGTTACCTCTATAAGCAATCTTATGGTTAGGCTTAGTCTAAGCGCACCTTGATGATTCCCCTAGCATTGTTTTAATAGGGCCCCTTCCTGCTAAGTGGTTAGAATCTAAGCCAAGATTTCGCAACAAAGGCACTGAAACTTTGAACTTGAACTGGTAATTGTTCAGCGACCACTTGCTGCATCCGATAAAGAGATCAGTTGCAGCAATGGTAAAACCATGTAAGCTCAGCCAGCAGACTACCAGCTCTCAGCTTCTGATGCAGCGCAGTCTCAAGATCAAAGCGAACACCAGTGCGACTGAGGCACAAAATCGAGAAAGCCTCTGCAGCCAAACAGAGAAAGCAACGAAAGGAATCCAAAAAGGTGACAGCAGCGTGTCCGCGAGCGAGGACGTTTCGCTAACACGTTCTTGCAGAACCCTCAATGGAAGTCCAGGTTGAAGAGGGATCCCGGCATTCCCAACCTCTTTCCCTTCAAAGACAAGATCCTAGCTGAAATCGAAGAGAAGAAGCGATTACGGGCTGAGGAGAATAACAAACGCAGAGAGGCTGCGAAAGGTGGTAAAGGTGGACAGAAAGAGGCGTTGCCAGTCGATAATGGCGGTGCAAGCCCTGCGCTGGCGGTTGGAGAGCCACTGGATGAGATGGAAGAAGATGGGGACGACTTAAACCCTATGGCTGCTCTTGTAGCCTCAGCACAAGCTCGTGCAACTGAATACCAGGACAGCGAAGCCTATGATGAAATGGACGAGGACGACGAAGGAAACGAGGACGGTGGAATCGCTCAACCCATCTTTGACGGACCGGCCATTAACCACAAAAACCCGGACTCGTCTCGTCGCGCCTTTGATAAGATCTTCAAACAAGTTCTCGAAGCAGCAGACGTCATTCTCTACGTTCTTGACGCTCGAGATCCTGAAGGTACTCGTTCTCAGGAAGTCGAACGGCAGATCATGGCCGCCGAGAATGGAGATAAGCGGCTCATTCTCGTCCTTAACAAGATCGATTTGGTTCCGCCACCTGTATTGAAGGCCTGGCTCATGCATCTACGCCGATACTTTCCCACAATTCCTCTTCGAGCTTCGACACCGGCATCAAATGCGCGGACCTTCGATCACAAACATCTAACAGTCAAAGGCACATCGGAGACACTGCTAAGAGCCCTAAAATCCTATGCAGTATCAAAGCAACTGAAGCGCTCCATATCTGTTGGCGTAATAGGCTACCCTAATGTCGGCAAGTCCTCCGTCATCAATGCCATTACATCGCGCCTCAACAAAGGTAGCCGGAGCTCTGCTTGCGCCGTTGGCTCTGAAGCTGGTATAACGACTAGCTTGCAGGAAATCAAGGTTGACAATAAGTTGAAAGTGCTCGACTCTCCTGGAATAGTGTTTCCGTCGGCAGTAGGATCAGATCAGGGCGCAGATCGAAGAGGCGGTGACGAAGCTCGCCTGATTCTGCTCAACGCTTTGCCACCAAAGCAAATTTCTGACCCAATTCCGGCGGTCTCTCTTCTCCTCTCCCGACTATCCTCTTCCTCAGACCTCTACGAGAAACTTCTACAGACATACAGCATAACGGCCCTAGGCCCGTTCGGAAATGGTGATGTAACAACAGACTTTCTTGTCCAGGTGGCTCGGAAGAGAGGACGAATAGGCAAGGGTGGAGTACCCAATCTCAATGCTGCAGCCATGGCTGTGATCACGGATTGGAGGGACGGGCGGATACAGGGATGGGTGAATGCACCAGGATTGAAGCTTGCTGCAGATGCAGGTGCAAATGCAGATGCAGATCCGGAGGCGGTGGGAGAACAGTCGTCTTCGGACGCTGTACCGGATAGAAAGGAAATCGTCAAGGAGTGGGCTGAAGAGTTCAAGCTTGCAGGTTTGTGGGGCAACGGCTCACAAGATGACGAAGTCATGCAGCATTGAGATTTGAACCTCTTAATGCCTAGGTCGCACAGCGTATGTCAGAAGAAGCGGTAGAAGCGGTAGAAGCGGTAGAAGCACCAGAACTGCCTTTGTGATTCCTCAATACTAACTAGTAGACCAATATCCTCCCCAACAGCGACCTTCCATATCTGGAACCTGGCCCCTTGGCCTCACGTGCATGATTCAACTCGTGCAAGCGCGTCAACGTGTTCCCACTATCGCGTGCGCAATCATGTAGACGACCGAGATAGTATTACACTATCAGGCACCACGCGCCCAATCCGAGGAATGATCCAATACCTGCACCGCGTCTCACTCTCTAAAATTCAGATCGGGAATTTCGCGTCTTCTCTGTCCATTCCTTTGCGTCATCAGCCTCCCTATTACCAGCATGCCCCGAAAATCCACCTCTTCCACCTCGGCAGGGGATGCCGCCATCTCGACGCCAGCCAACGGTGATGGTGCCGCCGCCGCCGGACCAAGCCTGGATGGGGGAGACACCTCCATGCTCTCCGTCGTGACCGACGCTTCTACAACCACCAAAGCGCGCGTGAATGGCAAAGCCACAAAGGAAGACGCCGACTCGCTCGGTGTAGATGTGTGTATTCTTCTATCTTCTCTATCTCCATCTCCATCTCTACCTCTTGCGAGGACCCAGCACTGGCAATCCGCCTTGGAAAGTGGAAGAACAAGAACAAGAACAAGAACAACCCTACAAGCCCGCCCCCCTCCTCCCCCACCACTTATTCCTCTCTACAACCCCCTTCACCTCAAGCATGTAGACGTCTCTCGCCCTTCACTCACTCACTCACTTACCGACCTAGCTAACCTCCTCCTTCCCCCTTTCTCCATCGTATAGGACCTCCTCCTCCCCCCCGCACCCTGACCTCACGTCTGGCCCGCGGCATCCTTCCCGCCAACACGTCGATCCAAAAGGACGCTCTGCTCGCGCTCACCAAGGCCGCCACCGTCTTCATCAGCTATCTGGCGCACCACGCGAACGAGCTCACGACGAAGAAGACGGTGGGTCCGCAGGACGTGCTCAAGGCGATACAGGAGATCGAGATGGGCGGCGTGATGGGGTTGGGGCTCGTGGGACCGGATGGCAAGGTGGGCGGCCGGTTGGAGAGGGAGTTGCAGGTGTTTGAGAGTGTGGTGAGGGGGAAGAGGAAGGGGTATCGGGAGAAGGTTAAGGCGAGGGGGAGTGGCGGGGGGGGGCTGGGTCTCAATGAGAAGGGGGGGGATGTGGATGAAGATGCAGATGGAGGCGAAGAGAGGGAGGCGAAGAGGGCGAGATTTGAGGCGGATGGAGGGGTTGAAGAAGAGAATGGTCGGCATGGTGGGAAAGCTACGACGGCACAACATCAACATCGACATGATCGCCCACAACAACAACAACAACAACAACAACAACAACAACAACACTACTACTCAACAGTTATGCCTCCTCCGCCTCCATCCGCAACACATCCCACAAACGGCAGCGCTGCTACCCCTCACCTTTCAAACCACGACACACTACCAGATGATGAACTCGAAGATGAGCAAAACGACGATGACGACGACGAAACCAACAACAACGCTGCAGAAGACGAGGATGGTTCCTCAGAAGATGACAACGCAGACGAAGAAGAAGAGGACGAGGACGAAGGAGAAGACGATGAGGAAGGCGAGGAAGAGAGGCGGCCGGACGAAGACGATTCGGATGGCTACGGTCCGGATGATCAGTTACGGCATGACATGAATGGCGCCGATGTGGACGATGATGAGGAGGAGGATGATGATGACGGAGATAGAGAAGGGTCAGGTATGGATAGTGATTGATCGATCAGTTGCGATAGAAGGTATCAGAGAAGAGAAAATAAATAGAGGCTGTACTAGTATCACCCATCGGTCTTGAAGATCATGAACGTGGCTTTTCCGCGAGTCACAGCACGGAAATCGACTTGTCCAGCCAACCAGCTTGCTGTCTGCCGAGTCGTTCTTGGTCCTGGTCGGGCTGATGTGATACTACTAAGTATTTAGTCTAAATTCACGAAACAGAGGAAATCCCTCCCTTTTATATCCAAAATACCCACGTTCAAGCCCTTGAAGACGGTAGACCTGCCCAGCTGTCCCCCGCTTGCTCGCTTTCTCCTTCTTGATAACTGACTAGGACCATACATGGCTCTGGCCTATACATCCGAAAATGACTTGTGGAGAAGGGGGAGAAGAAAAAGAGGGTGGTAAGGCTACTTGCTAGGATAGCAGAGCGGCTGGATCACCTTGACCTCTTTTGATATTGAATTGATTCAGGGCTGGATTTTAGTAGCGGTCCTATAGTTCTTGATTTACTGAAGAATCGGTGCTGCATGCGTCTGCCCAGGCGAGGTGTCTTTTGATCCATCTCGGTGACGACGAATGCAAGCCACTAGCAGAGCCATCGATGCTCTTTAGACAACTCATCTCGATCATTTGAATCACCTTCAATCGAGCTTAACGGGGACTAAGTCCCAGCCCTCGGGTAAATGCATGCTTTCTAACCTTTACTCGACACTAGGCTCTTCTCTATAATTCCTTCTCGGAGGATGGTGAGGCGATTTCCCCGTGCCAGGCCGAGGCGTCTCCATCAGACCAGAGCGATCAATGCGATCTTGGTCCCAGAACACGTAGGCCCCAATCTCACAGGTGGTTCTTGCAGGGCACGGGGAGTATCGCCGGAGACCAGCTTGCCAATGCCCCCATCCAACCGAGATTGCGACCCGATAGCCTGTCGCGCCCCAAATCGACTTAGAAGTTTGAAAATTGAACATTAGATGCAGAGCGGGAATCATAACATGGAAACAATCTTGCATTCACATAGCGGGCCAGATGGGCAATGGTGGAATTGTTGATAGCGGAATCTCAGCCGCCTCTGCTGATCCGTATCACTCTCAAGCAGCGTTTGGAAGGAAAACAGGGTCCGGCTGGTAAGGAATATGATATGCTCTCCTTGGTAGACCTTGTTATCCTCGGAAAAGAGAGACTCGTAGTGCCCTTGGTCGAACCGTGACCTCACGGGGAGAATCTCATCTTGCTTATTCGGCGTTTCTATCGAGAGGTCGTTCTTCTGGCATTGGGTCTTATAAGAGTTGGACACAATTGAGCCAATCAGTTTCCCTTCAAGAGAATCAAAACTGGCGTGCAGTTGGTTGTTGTGTATGTTCTGCCATACGCAGGTGACTTCTTTGACTTCCATGCAGTGGTTTTCGACAGCAGTACACCTGGCTCACACCGCGAAGTCTTGTAGTACCACTCATCATGGAAACGGCCTGGGTAGTATCATCAAGTCTGGCATATGTCCTACCTGTAAAAGGCACGCTGTGGACGCCCGAGCTCCATAGGAGATAGATCAGGGTCGCGAGCGATGGAGAAAGTGAATGGAAACGGCATCTTCTCCGAGCAGTGATTATAAATGAAATACTCAAGAGCTGACTGAGGTTGCCGACGAGTGAGAAGATCTGCGGACGATAACAAGTCATGTTGCAGGGGTTGTTTGCCGAAGTTACCACTGAGCTTCTACAAAATCAAACATACTTGTCAGTTGTAGTGACAAGGAGGACAACTCTGTATGAGGTTGAACTTTAGCAAATTGCGAATTTCAGAATGGACCAATGTTGCTTAGATGTATTCTAGAATAATACCAGTACGTCCACGTTTGCACGAAGTCGTAGGTCCCTTACACAGGCAAAGTGAGGTGTATGGGGAGAGGCCGTAATTGGAACTGCTTCAATATTCGAGATGCTGTTCAGTCTTGCGAATAGATCGGTGAGGACAGTATGCTGGCAAAAGGGATTTGTCTTTCAACCCGAACAGATATACTTATCGATCTTGGGAGTGAAATTCGATGACTACGATTCTATGCAAGAAGTGGGAACAGAGATGTTGATTCGCATACAGTGCCAAGGCATAGATTCAAATGACAGATTTTGTGGCTGTCTTGGCGGACGTGTCCTGCTGGCCGAGTGCCATGAAATCTGTCAACCGGCCTCCTTATCAGCTCCATCTTTGAGACTTTCACCTCCACCACCAACTACTATCCTCTACGAACTCACATCCAAGCCATTCAATATATCATCAAGCAGAGCCCTACACTTACACAGGAATCTAGATCTCTGACCACGCCAGATAGTCATTTCCCAGATGAGTGTCACTGCGAAACGTTCTTGATCGAATGTCCTTCCATTCTCGGACACCTGGAGACAAGGTTCGCGGAGATTCTCCGAGAGTAGTTGCTGGATAGGTGAATGACTAGCAAGAGGCGTGAGCCACGCGTGCCTGTGACGCCAAATCTGAGGGCGACTCTCGAACCCTTTAGCGAGCATGGACCACGAACGGCTGGCATTGAGAACCGAATATCAAGTCACCCGAGAAAGGTATGCGAGCGAGAACGACTAGCCCGTGAGGTAGGCTTAGTAGACCCGACCGTAGGTACATCATAACTACTTTCCTTCACCGTCCCTGGACCACGACATTGACCGGCTTGCCTGCTACCCATGCTTCAATACCTTCTTTCAGGAACGCCTTAAGATTCTTCATGGTCTGTGCAGCAAACCAGGCAACGTGAGGAGTGATGGTCAGGTTGGGTACTTCACTGTCCAACGGTAGCAATGGCGTCGTCCCCCGTCCACCGGGCTCTTTTTCCAGCACATCCGTAGCCGCGGCGGCAATCCATTTTCCTGTCAATGCCTTTGCCAGCGCCGCCTCGTTCACAATCCCACCCCTCGCCACGTTGATAATGACAGCCTCTTTCCGCATACTCCTCAGCTCCTCCTCCCCAATCAAGTCAATCGTAGAAGCATCTCTTGGACAGCATATCACCAGCACCGTCACCGTCCTCAACACCTCCTCAAATGGTACTCTCTGCACCTCTCCGCGCCTACTCCTCCCCATCAACCAGCCCCGTCACCCCCTTCCGCCCCGCAACAACCACTCTCCCCATTCCCACGCCCCGACACAACGCCTCAATCCTCCTCCCTAACCTCCCGTACCCCACAATCCCCACAACCTCCTGCCCACAGCTCAACGGCGCACCGCCTACATCATCCCACCGCGTAGTCAACGTTCCCTTTTCCATCCACTCCCCACCCCTCCTCTCACCCCCTTCCCTCACCTTCAAAGCCGTATCCAACTCCACTATCTTCCTCCTCGCCGCAAAATAAAACGCCAACGCATGTTCACTGACCGCCTCAATATTCGTCCCGGGACAATTGATCACCCATATACCCCTGGAGGCACAGTACGCCGTGTCGAGCCATTCAGTGCCGGTGGCCCAGATGGCGATCACGCGAAGGGAGGGGCATTGGGAGATTATCGCCGGGGTAATGGGGATTACGGTGGTGATTGCTATTGTGGCGGTGGAGAGGCGCGGGGCGATGAGGGAGAGGGGCGTGTCGCGGTATTCGGAGATTTTGTAAGGGGTTGGGAGGGTGAGTGGGGGGAGGGGACAGTGCATCGTCTCGAGGCAGACTATGTGGATGGGTGAATCTGAGGGAGAGGAGAGGGTGTCCATGATGGGTGTTGAAGGGAGAGAAGGGTAAATGATATGGCAGATTGGGATGCAGATAGACGTTGAAGTGTGCTTGATTTGAAGATAGCAGAGCAATGTCATGAATCCAAAAAGTGACTCAATGAAAGAGACTTATCCGCTGGGACCGGAGGACCGGGGTACTACCCAAGGAACCGCGCCCTTTGGTGATCTGCCCCCTTGATCACTGCAGTGCATTGCATAAGCAGGCTCCAACCGGCCAGCGATGAAGCAGACGACCCTCATTGACTTGGACCGCCGCTGTCGAACAACTGTGAATACTGTCTTGCCGAAAATTCAAAGCGCTTCATGGCGCTGACGGGTGGTTGAGGATGGACCACAATCCCTGTCCGCCAAGCCTGAAACAAATGAACAAAAGAAAAGAGAATCTTCGATGTGTGATAGGTGATAATACTATTTAATAAATGCTTTATGACCCATTTAGTGTAATATCTGTAGTATTGTACGTCCCAGCCGCAGGAAAGCTATTATTGCAGGTACTTATACTTGTCACATCTATAACTATATCTTTATAAAGTTTTATTGATAATTTCAACAACAAAAATGTCTCACAATACCTGTCAGCGAGGTTTGGCTCTATTCAGCCCAGTCATACACCATCATCACTCTGACTTCGTCCCTATTCTTGCCTCTCACCACAACCTTCCTAACGTGCTTCCGCTCTCCTTGTATGTCTAGGAAACCCCATATATGCGTTGCGTTCCATTTGCCATCAACATCCCCACCGGTGGCCTCGATTAACTGTCCCTCATCCAGCTTGTCCAAACAATCCTTCTTCATCCACCTCGCTTCTATCAATCCACCGACTTCTGCCTTTGATCTGTCCAAAGAACGGATCATTGTTCTCCCTCCATTGGTAGTCGAGAATATACTGTTCTGTTGTTCCAGGTATGCCTGCCGCAGTGGCCGTTTGTGCGATGTGTATTTCATTCTCGCTTACTTGAGAGATCCTTAGATGCACGGAGGCCGCCGAGATGGCTTTCCTCAAGAGGGTATTGACGCCTTGTAGCTCTAGGACGGGAGATATGTCATCCGAGAGCGACTTGTTGAGCTTCCAATTCCCGGAAAGGGTTTTCAAGGTTTTCTCCGGGGGCGCAGACATGCCGAAAACGTTAAGAGAGCGGGAAGAAAGAAGCCTGGGAAATTCACAGTCGTGATTGAATTATCCTTGACCGCGTTGGAAGCATCTCCAAGGTCAATGTAACAAACGTATGATGTCATCATGAAAGGTAGATTTTGCCCTATATGCGTGCCCTAATCCTTTCCTAATTAGGAAATACTTAGACTGTTAATTCATTTTTGCTCCCCGCCAACTCTTCCAAACGTTTCCGGATTGCATCTAGAGGATCATCTGCTCTCGAATCTCGAATTACTAGATCCCTAGTATTCTGCCATTTCAGCCAAGCCAATGCTTGAAGTAGGCAATCCGCCAGATCATCGAGTTTTGGCTGTTTTTGCGTTTTTGGCGTCGTAGCTGCAGACTCGCTCCTGGTTGTCCTCTTATGCCTCTGGAGTTCCTTAGCAACCATGGAGGTAGCATACCATTTTTCCATGAAAGTGGTCTCTGTAGCTTTCGCTTGTCCTTTGCCAATCTCAACCATGCGACTTTCGCCATCCAAGAACGACTTTGCCACAATATCAACCTTGGCTTGCTTGCCTTCACGGCCAGTAATCTTACTAGGTACAATCTGACTAGTTAGTCTTTGACTTCCTTCAAGCCAGAAGCGAGCGGTCCGAGCAGGGCTGATGCTAACAATTGCCTCCAATTTCGTTTCGTCCTTTCGCTCTTTCTGCAAAGTCTGTAGGATTGCATGCAACATGCCTTCGAAGACACCAACCCGGAGCGTCCATTCTGCCACGGCTGAGCCACCGCCAGAACGAAATCGCTGCTGCTCAATCAGGATGTGCGTCGGATCGTATTTCACGAGTATGTCACTGATAAAATAATATGCAGCATCCGCATATCTGGATGGTAGGTACCCACCTAATTTGGCAGACTTCTTCATCGAGTTGTCGTGGCTGTCGCCAGGAAAGACATTCAATCGCTCCCAGGCCTTGAGTACGGGGAGATTGGTAGTGCCGACGCTCGGAAGATTCTGTGAGAACCTGTCACTGGCTTGGCGTACCAGGAGATTTGCATAGGCCAAGTTTTGTATACCCATATCAATACTGACGATGCTGAGCTGACGGCGTGGATGTCTGGACGTCGAGGATGACCTGTTGAATGCCCGACAGTCACCTGAAGGAGCCGGGGATAATGTTTGGCATATCCCATCCACAATCACTTTTTTGCTGCCTGAACAAGCACATCCGAGAGCAACTGCAAGCTGATGGAGCTGGGAGGCTCTCAACTGACCAAGCCATTCCATTCCATTTCTGATAGCAGCCATTTCTCTGGCCTGTATGGTGTCGTAGAAGACTGCCACAAGAGTGCACACTCAGCTGGCATATTGTGAATAATTCTTATCATAAACTCTCCATAAGCTTATTGCTGGTCTTTCCGATAAGTACGGGGTGAGAGTAACCTTGAACATGAAGGTGGAAATAGCCCTGTACAATCGCCAAAGGTGACCTCACCAAACGCCTGTTCCGTTTCCAAATCTGAACACTTGCTGTTTTAGCTTGAGTAATGAGTCCGCAGGCCTGAGCTGTGGATGTGCAGTCTTGAGCTAGCGCCTGAGCATTGTTAATTGCTTTGTTTTGGTCAGGAGTCGAGGTACGTTTTTGTACGTTTGTAATGTACGCTTCGTAGGACGTAAATTAACCCGAGATTTTTGACTCCTGACCAGGTTCCTTGCGGTTAGGAAGACAGCTCTCAGCTAGGGCCGAGTTGGGATAATTACTATTGAAATGCCTAGTAAAACGTCTATTACGACCCCTCTAAGATGTCTAAAATCTCCAGATAGACTATTTTCCTTACTAGTAGTTTGACGCGCTGTGGACCCTGATAGAGCGCATTGGCCTCTCTCGCATCCTCTTCTGCATTCAACTGTTCATCTACTGAACTTCTTGGCGGACTCCTTATTTTGTACATTTTACTCTAGGTCCTTGTACAACTTGAATTGTCTCTTTTGGGCACTTGTTGGTCTATCTTGGTAACTTGTTTAAACATGCAGGGATAGGTTTATTGCAAGTAGTTAGCAACGTACAAATTCGTAAACATTGTTAACGTTAAAATACTAATTTTGATGGTTTTATGCTGTATTTGACTTTGAATCCATAGGGCCTACTATTTTATAACCTGGATTAGGGCTTTCCATACTAGGACTAGAGCTTATCACATTAGGATTAGGGTGAGTACTTGCCATGTATGTTATTCAAGATTTGACAGCTCAAATTGTGCATTGCGAAGGAATAATAGTTACGAACGGTTTTTCTCGACCCCTGGTTTTGGTACCTTGTTTTGGTACCTTGTTTTGGTACCTTGTTTTGGTACCTTATTTTGGTCCCCTTCATTGCCAGAGGGCAGTTCTTACATCCGGTCTACCAGCCTAGTGAGTTCCTAATTCAGATCATTTCTCTGTGGCACAGTGTTTCAGTCAAGCCTCCTGCCTGGTGGCGTCAGTCGCTAACTGTCATACCATAGGATGGTGCACTACGGAGGTTGTGATAAGAAGATTCTGGAACATGAAACGACTCTAGTATTTCAACGTGGCAAGTAATGACGAGGAGGAGTTACCTGGAGAGATGTATGCAAATCGTGACTTTCCAGATGAGAAAGTTAAGCAGTGGTCAGACTTATGGGAGTATTGTCTAAAGAGTGGTTCACACATCTCTGGATTTTCCAAAATGCAGTTCCGTGAACTGGAGGTACTACTTAGTAGTAGCGTCTGGGAGACCTGCCGCTGTTTTACCGAAGATATGACGATGCTTCTGAAGTGGAGTCCTTGAGCTAGACCGTCTCGAAATTGACGAAGTGGGCACCTGCTCCGAATTTAACAGCTTCAACGGCTTGAATGCAACATCTCAGATTTTGACAATGGTCTTGTTCTGTACCTTCTCCGCGACCGCCAAGGAGGTCCCGAAAAGGAACTCTCACGTCTTGGCGTAAGTAGATGGCTACAGGCCGCGCAATTGGAGGCGAGCAACGCAACGGGGTGGAGACAGACACTTGTAATTAACTGCATAATGGTTATCAAGTACAATTGCAGAGGGGTTTGGGAGCTACTACGCCGTAAGAGAAGCACCTCCAGCCCGGCATACAGACGACGCCACGTCAAGAGATGGCGAACCTTCAATCGCTAATCGAGACAGTACTGCATCCCTTCACCACCCTCAAACGACTCATTGTTCAAGACAGCACAGACTACGATCTGCTAGCCTCTACTCCTTCTTCATCCTTGCTTGCATCGTGAGAACGTCAATCATGTCATGGGCATAACTCCTCGACGTGATTGGCGAGCAACTTGCATTGAATCGGACCGAGACAATGTTCTCCCAAGAGTCTATGCCCAGTCACCTCGACCAACTCAAATACCACATCAGCATCATCTAACACGTCAGAGAATCCGTGGCTAGCAACTTCCATGTGATTGTCAGTGGTGGCTCTCTGTCATGGCACATAGCGGTTCGCCAAAGCGAAACCAACCGAGAAGCTGACTTACAGGATACACTGTCACGCGACTGCGCTCTCGTAATAGAGAGTTTTTGTCCTATGGTCAAAGAATGTGAGTCATCATGACCGCCTTTGACAGCTCTTGTGAATTTTGAATAGCTGAAGGCTGCCGAGCGGAGAATGGATGAGGCGATCGAGGTGAAGAGATTGGTTTTCGTTGCGCTTGTATTTGTGCCGCTTACATTCCCAGCAAGCATCTTTCTGATGAACTTCGAGGCTGGGCAAATCTGCGTTTTATAGCGGCGTTCCTGATGACTACATTGCGTGTCTGGCCCGTTACGTTCATGGTTCTCTTCTGGGATTGGTGGTAGCGGAGATGTCGGCTCGTCTGGCAAAACATGACCAAGGCCGAATTTCAAACTGGGATGAACGAAGAGTGTCCATTGGGCAAGAATCTGTGGATCGGGCAACAGTGCAGTAGTACCCAGTCAACCACCGAGGCATTGAAGATTCTACGATGTCGGACTTTCTTGACCCAGTCAATGCCAATTAGCCGCCGAATACGGAGTAGTGTACTAGGAAATGGATTTCTACCGAGAACAATCTACTGACTACTAAGTAGAACCGTACTGGGAACAGTGTACTGTGAACGGTCTGTACTAGAAAAATGCCTAAAATTGACCCCCCAAAATGGACCCCTTCAATCCAAAAACGGTCCTGTTGAAATGTGACCGAGGCTTAAAGAGGCCCCATAAACGGAAACTCTAAATTGAATTGAGCAGATATTGAGGGAGACTGATCGAGACTGAAGCGGAGAGCATGAACAGGGGCGGTGCAAGCCTGAAGCGGACTGAGCGGAGTCAGGCTGATCCGAAATTTTTTTGTTGAGTCACTTTCTCCTATATCATTTGTGTTCACTGAATTGGCGAACCTCCTTATTAGGATTAGTGTTCACGCAATTTACTAGCGTAACAATTTTGCTGCAAAACCTACTACGGGGGAACCATAACGTAGTAAGTACTCGTAGCACGGTGCTAGTAGCAACTAGTTCTGATACAGCGCTACATTGATTTTTAAAAGCTTCTTAAGCCAATGTCCACAGTGGTTGGCCAGCGCGATACCGTCTAACCGCTTAAAGCTCAACCTCCATGTTTGTGACCCGCTGCTAGACAAAGATACTAGCGCCGTGCTACGAATTTGATTTCTGATTTTCCATCCGCCAAGGCTGCAGCAAGATAATTACGTTACATCGCCGGGATACTAATCCTAATAAGGAAGTCAGCCAATTCAGTGACACAAGGGGATAGCAAGAAAAGTAAAGGGGCAAGTCTCGGCACACTGGGTTATGTTATCGCACGTGACCTTCGATCTCGGGCCTTCTTTATGACGTGTCTATGGACGATAGAGATGGAAATCTTCAACCTCGACGTACAATCTTGAAATGTGTGCCAAGCCAACCGGCAGCTCCAATGTGAATCCTTACCGTAGATTTGAGGCCTCTGCTTAGTAGCTTTTCCATCGACCCATACTCCGGTCCCAGAGATGGATCCTTTGAACGCCGTATCCATTACATTTGCTACCGGACTGGTTTTCATTCAACCACCATTGCGACAGGATTCATAACATTAGTCAACACTGTTGCTCGATCCCCTGGTTGGCTTTCCGTGAGCGAATCAACGAGGCTTCCCAGCTCCGAAGAAGCTACCTCCCCGTCGTCGAGATAGACGAGATTTGCCCAGATCTTCCAGTGAAGAATTCCCACGTGGGCCACGCGTCGAGCAACATCTTCAACTTCCGGCAGAGGTCGAAAGCTCGTCTGTTGTTCCCGCCGTTGTTGCCATTGTTGCTGCGCGTTCGACACGGCCAGTGGAGTCATGTCGTTGAAGATTTGAGCATGATGAATTGCTTTGAAGGTCAAGTCTTCTTGCAATGACTCCCAAATGAACATGCCTTGAGACGTATGTCCGGAGACCAAATCATTCATCCGACAGAGCGTGGACTGTATCAAGCAATCTGGCACGACAACTTGCGAATGTCCACAGAATTCATAAGCTGCACGTGTTATTTCCAACGCAACACTGGCTGAGCTGATCTGCCAAGGGTCCCCAACCTCGGTCTGTTCATCCACAATCGCCAAGATCCTTGATTGAAGCTGTGTATAAACCTTTGAGGAAACGGACGTGGGTCGTCCTGAGCCGAGCCACGAATGTAGCTCATCAAAAACAATAAGACACATTCTCAGGTGTCCCAGATCGTGCGTATCAATCCGCAACTGTTCAAGACGTTCAAGATCGTACAGAAATGATTTTGGTAAGGCAGATGTGCTAGGGACAGAGGAGAAAGAGGCGATCAAGCCGTAAATCAGGCTTGCATAAGCATCCTCATTCATCGGAGTGCCGAAAGAACTGGACCACGACAAGTGCCTCTGTCTTGCTCGATCGTACCAATCGCGGCACAATTCTGGACCCACTTTGCCATCCATGATACGCTTTGCAAAGAAGTCTTGTTGGAAGGGAATCGTATCTTCCATCAGCTGAAAACGAAAGGTACGAATCTGGTGGTTTGCGACATCCTGGCCTGGGTCAGATAGTTCTCGAGATGGTAACGGTCAAGTACAATACCAGCTTCATTGCCTCCAGAACGCTGAATAGCTTCTCTATGCCTCTGACCAACAGGATCATGTCTGATTTCTGTGCGCCTTCATCGATTTGTTGTGCCATTGAATCAGCCCATGCGTCTCGTATAGGTGCACAATGGCTTTTTAGCAGTGCCGATAGCCATTTTGCAAACCGAGAAATATCAAGGACGCCATTCTCGACTTGTTGCATCAGAAAAGCCACGTCCAAATTCTCAGCAATGCTGATATGGTCTTTGTCAGGAACGAGCGTCTCCAACAGCTCTCTCAAATCGGTCAACATCTGTCCGAGGCGTGGTGAGAAGTCGTCGTGGGCATAAGCCACCTGGTTATGATGCAAGGGAGGGCAATCCATGCGGGTATGAAGATGTATTTGTAGCTCTGCTGCCAGCGCTAACCAATATTCTTGTGCTTCTCTTCGCTTTCGTTCGGCGCGCTTTCCCCCTACTGGCATGAAGTGGAGATCAGGTTCAAAATTAATGTCGCTCCGAAGATTCATGTTGTGCAGTATCCAATTGAGATCAAGCTCGACAAGTGTCGTGGTTGTTACTGGTGGATGTGGCACTGCATATCGCAGAGCAGTTCGCATATGCTCATTGAAGTGTCTGCATGCAGGTATCAACATTTTCATTGGTAGAGCGTCTTCAGAGAGGCTGCAACTGGATCGATGGGTCACCAACGAAGGCTGTTGTCTTTCCGGTCTTGGATTGCCAGATTGAAACTGGCGCTGACGTCTTGCAGCTACGCCATTGTCTGTGTTGAGAGTTGACGGATTTTGCAGTTGTTTGTCCACGCCTTGCTGGGAATGGACCTCATATGCCACCTGATCATCATGGGCTACCCAGCCTGTGCAAAGCCCCGTCTTGCAGGTGATTTCATCCAAACTCCTGCTGGCGAACCCTTCTTTCCGGCTAGTCATGACCACAGATGCGCATGCTTCAACTAGGAAGCAGTTTGCACTGTTCTCGGCGAAGTCGTAAGGGTAGTAGATGCCTACCCGAGCTCTAAAGTCTGCTAGGGGTATGCAAGAACGTTGTGTATCTCTCTGGATTATGCTTCAACTTGGTGAGCGTATATGGCCTCGTGTGTGCGCCTGAAGAAGACCAAATCAGTCGGTACTCAGCGAGGGCACTTCGTTGAGCAAAACATATGTCAATTACAAGAATGTCTTGAGGAACTTTTCCAGTCAATACTCCTTGAAAAAATAAGATGGGAAGATCGCAGGAGATGCTCAGCAAGTCCTGGTCTGCTATGCAGAAGATCCCTAACTGAAAGGCGGCCAATGGGCATGGAAGCAGTACCAAAGAACTCGCACCGACATGAAAAACGACCTATCAATAAAAAGCTACAGTATATGGTGGGATAAAACATTACTCTAGAAGAAAAACGAGTGGCCCAGAGACATATGAAGCTGGCAGATCGCAGAAGGGAGTCCAGAGCCTCACCAATCATTAGATACTTGCAGTGGCAAAATAAGACCATTCCTACCCCAGTAACAGAATTACTGACATCAAAGACTGCTGGATTCTGTAGATTGATTGAAAGTGAAGCGACTGGGCAAATAGTATGTTACTCAGGGAAACTTGGCATGTTGCCGATCCCCGGGCACTGGTCGAAGCACGCTTTACAGTACAGACCTTCTTCAAGACAACCAATGTACAGGCCGGCTGCAGAGAACTTAAGTGAAGGACGCGCAGAGTCCTCTCACCGCAACTGTGGTCCTTGGTCGCCTGGACCAAGTATGGAAGCTGTGCCCGAAATGGCATGGCCCACCCGGCAATGTGGGAATCCGCCAATGTTCGTAGTGTCCTGGCTCGATCGACCTTTGGGAGGCTGGGCTAATCAAGTGAGAACTTTCTTTTCGTCGCCTTCGAAATCGTTCCTGAAGATTCAAGAATCAAACGTAGATTGTCGCAAGACAGATCTCTAACAACCTACTGGATGGTAGGTTCTCAACGGCAGGCACTAGAGCCCCCTGATCCTGGCCGTGATCTGCCAGGTTGCTGCATGCAATGTTATAGCGTTCCCAATAAGACGGAGGACCTGCCAGAACCATAGCAGGTCAAGCCGGATCATGAGGACCAGCTATCACAGAAAGGGTGGTCAGTACGGAGTACTGGCGAAGAGTGAGGCAAAAGATTTGAAGACACAGAACACGTGTCGGCGGAAAGCTGCAGTTTTCTTTCCAAGATGGCTAGCTGCGTCGAGGCGTCGGAGGTGGGCCCTGATTGAAGATTCCATTTGCTGATGGTTATTCCAAGTGCTCCCTACAAAAAGCTGACTCATGATTTGGCAGCTGGGTGTCCAAGGCCTTAAGGTTCAACAGATACACCAGCACTGGGCGAATACAAAGGGCTCCATACTACCTGGTCATCCGTTGGTACACACGTCTTCACGCTCAATTAGAGAGATTCTCAACCATCTGTAAGAGGGTATAGTGTTGTAAGAGGAAGCTGATTTGTTACAACCACTGCAAATCCTGACTATGGGTCGCAGTGGTCGAAAGCAATCAATGAGGCCGCTGGGTTTGTACTGTGTACAACATGTTCCCCAAGCATGATGGCGTTCCACGATGCAATAGCCTTTTGGATAGACTAGTTAGACGCAGCGGGGTCTATCATAATGGCTTGGGAGCGGTAGATGTTTGCTTGAAGCATAAGCCTGTTGGTTCTTACTGCAATCGAGCTGATAGCGTCCGGTCACAGTTCTCAGAGCTTTTCTGTTTTCAAGCTCGATGGATCATAACATGCATGAATTTCCAGAAGGAGGACTTGACTTTGCCATATTGATTGATCGCCTCGGGTGTAGATGCTAAAATAGCTTATGGTTGGTTTCTCTGAACGGCGAGCATAAACGTCCAGATACGTTCTAATGCCCAACCTTTCACAGTAAGCTGATCGTCGTCCCAGTCCTACAGAAGGTCGGACACAAAGCAACACGAAGATATATGATGAAAGTAATACTGTCTGCCAAAGGAGGTGCAGTGGGAAGAGGCGTCACCAAACACCAGAAAGTGGTAGGAGAAGCTGTACTCAGCGGACTTGAATCTGTATTCTAGCTGCTCAGTTGCTTACCTGCAGATTGTACTGTTCTTGAATAAATATCTGATACCGTAGCAGTCTTCTTTGGAAGGGACTGTCATGAATCTAATACCATGCAATTCTAGAAGACGTTCCGAAATAACTTCAGATAACAAGGCGTCCAGGACTAACTAACTAAAAGTGTTTTCAGGCAACCAGCACACGCCAAGGCTGGCATGACTGGACTACTAAGTACTACGGTATCAGGCCGGATTTTTGTAACCCCCCTGCTGAAAACATTAGTATCCGTACAAAACGTACTATGTGGAATTGGGTATAAACGCCCACATGATACCCTAAATAAGATTAGTCTCTAAAATCAAGTTTTTACATTCCTTTGGCATCTGTAACTGCTTGACATCTCACTCAAGCAGCTTTTAAGGTAGTTAGAAGACACAGCATTATATGAAGCATTAATAGCCTGCTTGCAGCTTATCCTATCATCAGGCTTATTATCATGCATGTAGAAATAGTAGAATGCGTATAGAGTAGAATGAGTAGAATTTATAAGACGAGCAAAATTTGCGCAAAATAGTGACAGGGATGCTAACAGGGTTTGCATGTAAAAAATACGTTTGTAAGATATTTTGACCAGGGGGGGTAACAAAAATTCGGCCTGTAGCCGTAGTACTTACTAGTACTCGACGCGGAGTTGTGCATCAAAAGTCATCAATGTACGCTAAGTAGGATGAAGTTGAGCTAGCTGTTTTTGTATTGATATTATGTTAGTCTCTATTGACAATGTCGGAGCGGCTGATGGGCCGGAATGCCTGAAGCTTAGCTGACATAGGTTGGCGAGTCGCAGCCCAATAGCCTAAAAGAAGGCTTTAGAGATCTCTAGAAATTGTGGAGGCTATTAGGCGTCGCTGTAACTAATACGTAGGGGTTCCCTCTGAATAGAACACGAATTACGTAGTGCTAAGCTCAGCTAGAGTGTGTTAGCGGTGCTCTAGTTTTAGCGTATATTGATGACTTTTGATGCACGACTCCGGACGGAATTACAACTAGGCCATCGTACCCAGGGCAGAATCTCTATGAATATCACTATTGAGGCTTTTAATCACATTCCCATCGCTACCAGCGATCTCTGGACAATTTGAAATCATAAGAGGGAACCGAACGGTATGGGTGACGACGAACGAAGGGTCAAGCGATCACGCTTTGACCAAACGGAACCAGAACCACGCAAAGCATCCAGATTTGACAGGCGTTCTCGTTCACCTTCATCGCGACAGCCCGAGTCACGGCGCAGTAGGAGTCCCTTGGGCAAAGATCCTCGTAGTCCAGCTTCCGCCGACAAACGTTCTGCTTCGCTGGACCCGGCCGCAGCTGCGGGTAAGTATCGCCTCTCTGCTTCTCTCTGGCTCTGCTGATATTCTCTCAAGCCGCCGCTGCAGCAAAGATCAATGCCGATCTTCAAGCCAGAAAGGGCATACAGCATGCCGATGTGCCTCCGATTCGATCTGTGAGCAGATATGCTTAACTAGCAAATCTTCTATTAACCATCATGCGCAGACCACGAGCCCTCTACCAAAATCATCCTCCCCTTCAGCTGGCCAGAGCACCAGCAACCTCAATGGCGAAATCTACATCGCAGATGGTGACTATATCAAGGACATTGAAGTCAATGATTTGCGCAACCGCTATACACTGACCAAAGGCTCTACTCAAAAGATGGTAAATATCCTTGTTACATATCAACTGGTCTATTCAGGCCTTAGACCTTTCCCTTTATTTCTTCCTTCTGTACACTTGTGTGTTGGTCATTGAAGCTTACTATGCTCCGATTACAGCACTTCTTGCCATGCCAGCTTTTGCATCTGCTGACCTCAAATGCGTGACATCTAGATCAAAGAAGAAACTGGCGCTGGTACGCTATACCTAATATCTAAACAACTTCTGTAGGGATTGATGCTCATCGGTGTAAAGATGTCACAACGCGCGGATCATACTATCCTGACAAGAGCATGGCTACCGCAGCTGTAAGTCATTACGTGATTGAGTTCATTGCGTTCTCTAACCACGACTGCAGAATCCGCCGCTCTATCTCCATGTTACGAGCACTACAAAGTCCGGTCTGGAAAAAGCAGTAGAAAAGATTGAGGAACTTATGCAACAGGAGCTACCGAATCTTGTCGATGAACGCCGCTTTCGTCGCCGCGAGCCCGACCAATTCGAAAGAGATGAGTTTGGACGTGTATGCAAAAAGAAACATCTCCATATGGACAGATATTCACTGACGTTCTACATAGCGCAAATGGCCAGAAGAGCGCATTCCGATTGACATGGAACCAATTCCTGGCTTTAATTTGCGCGCTCAAGTTGTCGGCCATGGAGGATCTTACGTGAAGCATATCCAGCAGGAGACACGATGTCGTGTACAGATCAAGGGCCGCGGCTCGGGTTTTATGGAGCATAGCACAGGAGCAGAGAGCGATGAGCCCATGTACCTGCATGTCGCAGGACCCGACCCCAAAGAGGTGCAAAAAGCAAAAGAGCTGTGCGAAGATCTGCTTGGCAATGTCCGAGAACAGTACGAGCGATTCAAAGCGAACCCACCGCCACAGCGGATGGAGTCTTACACAGATGGATACGGTGCAAACGCGAACAACAATTCATACGGTGGCAGCAGAAGCTACTATGGAGGTCGTGACTCTTACGGTGGCGGAAGAGATCGAGAAAGCTACTCGAGCCAATCCCGAGACAACTACGGACAATCATACTCTCCTGCTGCTTCGACACCTGCACCTCCTGGGACTGGGCACTCACTAGGCGACTATGCGGCTCAATATGCCCAATTGTATGGCACAGGTGCTGATCCTTATGCAGCGTATGGCGGGTACCAGAATTATGTCGCATACTACCAGTACTATGCTCAACAGCAGGCACAACAGCAAGGTCAAGCACCTCCTCCACCACCAGGTGGCGAGACCGTACCTCCGCCACCTCCTGCTGGTGCTGGAAGTCCACCTCCTCCTCCGCCGGGTGGGGCAACATATGGTGCAGTACCGCCTCCACCTGGCATGTGAGGGAACTTTCTTGTTTTCGTGGCTGATCAATGTTTGCCTGATTAAGGAGGAGCATGCTTGATCGTTTTCCAGTGCGAATCTTGCAGGGTGCACGGCCAAGGATCAGAAAATAAAGATGGCAGGGAAGCGATAGGGGACCGTCATTTCAGTTGTCACAAATGATGACACCATTTACTCCTCGTTCCAAATTGCTATCTTTTGAAGAGATATCTCCGTCTACCATGAGAGCTCGTTACCCTGTATCACATTTTCTGTGGATGCACTATTTTCCCAGCGCCTTTCCCTCTCCTTCGCAAGAGTCGCTAATCTCGATGTGTTCGTAGTATGCATCACTTTCACCCTCGCCTCAAGCAACAAGGCCAGTTATATGGTTCCAGCACGCTCAAATATCCTCATACCCCTCCCACCCATTCGATCTCTCCCTCTGACTAAACTCGAACGCAGCCTCCTCATCCGCCAAACCCCTCTCCATCCTCTTCCTCAACTTCTGACCCCCTTCCTTACAATAATCACACGCGAAATCGCATTTCGTCTCCCCTTCCAAACCCCCAGTCCCTGTAGCTCCAGCGGCAAAATACTCCGAAATCAATTCATGTCTGCACCTGCTCGTGCATTCACAATACTCGATCACCTTCTGTAGACTTTCCATGCGCGCTTCTGCTTGCGCTTTGCCCACCCCACCCCCCTGATTGTTCCTATTACCCTTCTTGTTGAGCTCACGGTTAACATCTAAGCTGACGCGATAGAGCACCCTATCTCTCTCCTCCCTCGTATAGAACACGACGCAACTTGCTGCTTTGCCATCGCGACCTGCACGTCCCGATTCCTGGACAAAGGCCTCGAAGCCGCGAGGGACACCGTAGTGAACCACGAAGCGGACGCTGGGGGCATCGATGCCCATGCCGAAGGCGGTTGTGGCTACTATGATGTTGAAGCTTCCGGCTACGGTTTGGGCGGTTTGGAGGTCCGTGGGTTGGTGTGGGTGGATGAAAGTTTCTTGCACGGTTTGGCGGGTGGTGGGGTCGAGGCCGGCATGGTAGGCGGATGCGGTTATGTTGTTGGAGGTTAGGCGGGCGGAGAGAGATTCGGTGGTGCTGCGGAAGGCGACGTAGATTATGCCGCTAATTGGGGTGAGGTCGGTGGAGGTGCTGTTGTTTGGGGAGCGTTGGTGGAGGTAGCCGAGGCGGGTGGAGCGGCGGGAGGAGATGGAGTTTAGCCAGTTGAGGAGGTTGGGGAAGAGGTCATCGCCGCTGGAGTGGTGCGGAGAGGATTCAGAAAAGTAGCGGACTTCGTAGTGCAGGTTTGGACGGGCGGTTGTGGTGGAGAAGAATTTCGTTGTGCCTCCTTCGGAGCTGGGGCGGGGGTCGAGACCGAGAGAGGTAACGATGTCTTCTCGGACGCGAGGGGTGGCTGTAGCTGTGAGTGCGATTACTGGGACACTGGGCAGGATCAGGGTCTGCTTGAACCAGCGTAGTTCTTTGTAGGCTGGACGGAAGTCGTGACCCCATTCTGATATGCAATGTGCTTCGTCGATGGCTATGCGGGTTAATTGACCTTGTTGGTGGATGGTCGTGAGGAGTTTGCGGAAGTTTTGTGTTGCGCAAAGCTCTGGGGTGACGTAGATGAGGCGTGTGTATGGGTGGCCACACTTCAGGTCGGTCTCGATACGCCTGCGTTCTGTATACGTCGTACTTGAAGATATGGTCTCGGTGGGGATACCGCGATCTCGAGCAGCATCGATTTGATTTGTCTGGTTTGCAGTCAGAACAACGGTTGCCAAAGACGCCATACACGTCTCACCATCAATGCCAGCAAGGGCGAAACTACCACAGTAACTGCACAGCTCTCAGAAACGGCGCATCCAGAAGGGTCTTTGACAACGTACTACCACTGCCAATAACGGCTGGCAATTGGAAGCATAGACTCTTCCCGAAAGATGTGGCAGCTTGAAGAAAAACATCGTGACCCTCAATGGTCGCAGAAATGACCTCACGCTGTACTGGCCTTGATTGCTTAGCTTCAAGATACTCAATGACGACGGCTTCGAACCTGAAAGACTGCTTGCCAAAGACTCTTCTGAGGGTAAAGTCCAGGTCGACGGGCTCCTTGCCCTTGCGCCCTCTGGCCATGGCTATCTCATACTCATGGATACACTCATAGAACTCTTTGTTTTGGTGCTCTCAGACTGCATTGACGTCCACCCCGAAGGAGCGCGCATCGACGACAGCAGTAACAGCTACGAACACTTGTCACAGAAAGGGGGCCTCTTGGCACCGCAACGGTGGTTCAAGCATGTTGCCAATGGGTGATTAGACTCAACTCTGAGACCAGCCATTGTGATGAGAGGGCTAGATCTTGGTTAAGTTTACTACGTAGGCTCCGATGAGCTTTCCCCAAGTCTCGGTTGGAAAAGAGGTCGCCTACTTACTTAGTACTACTTACTACGTATGCAATAAATGCACGAGTAGCCAGTCTTGGCTTGCGATGATACTTCAAGTTACTACTGCCAGTGGGTAAGGCTTCGGCCCCTTCGGCCCCAAAAGAAAGAAAAAGTCTCCGGGAGCCGAGTTGCCCCTCCATTTCAACCAACTGCCCCAAAAATTCGTGCTCTGTTTGACCAATCCTAAACTAATCTCGTATCCGGATCCTTCACCGCAATTGACAAACTGTTTCTTCACTTCAAACACACCTTGAAGCTCCCCTCTTCCATCTTCCGCAGCAGCTACAACCTTAGCCTTACCTCTTCGTCCATCCCTCAGCTTGTTTCCCTTGTCGGCCACCCGGCACTGTTTCAAGATGGTGCAATCGTACGTTGGCCAATTCCCACTTGGCAAGAACTATGGCTGAATCTTTGTCCTAGATCAATTCTCGGTTTCCCACGCATGGGCGTGAACCGTGATCTCAAGAAAGCAACAGAAGCGTTCTGGGCAGGGAAGATTCCAAAAGAGGAGTTGCTGAGCGAGGGCAAGAGACTGCGTCTTGAACACTGGCAGCTGCAAAAGAAGGCTGGTGTCGATATCATTCCCAGCAATGACTTTGCTTTCTACGACCAAGTCTTGGACCATATCCACCTTTTTGGAGTAAGTCTGTTCCTGTGGTAAGAGAAAACTCGTCCTGACAATGGATAAGGTCGTTCCCGAACGGTATTCCAAGTACAACCTGTCAGACCTCGATGAGTACTTTGCAATGGGAAGAGGTCTGCAGAGACCAGAGAAAGATGGCGAGCCCGCTGTCGATGTTTCCGCATTGGTAAGCATAAATCGCTCTCAGCCCCTAGTTTACTGAGCTGATAACTCCAAGGAAATGGTAAAATGGTTTGATTCCAACTACCACTACGTAAAGCCGACCCTCCAAGACAACCAGACGTTCAAGCTCTCCGGTACCGCTAAACCTGTGATTGAGTTCAAAGAAGCCAAAGATGCGGGCATCTTGACCCGCCCTGTCCTTCTCGGTCCAGTCTCATTTCTGGCACTTGCCAAGGCAGACCGAGGCCAATCTGTGGACCCCATTAGCTTGCTCGACAAATTACTACCTCTCTATGAAGATGTTTTGATGCAGCTCAAGGATGCTGGTGCAGAATCTGTTCAGATTGACGAGCCAGTTCTTGTTTTTGATATACCAACAAAGGTCAAGAATGCCTTCAAGCCTGCCTACGAGAAGATTGGGGCTCTCGGCAGCAAAGCACCAAAGATCGTCCTAGCCACCTATTTCGGCGATATCGTTCACAACATCGGCGTACTGGATTCCCTGAAGGGACTCTATGCCATTCATATCGACCTTGTTCGTAACCCCGAACAGCTAGACACCGTGCTTGGCGCTCTTGGCCCTGAGCAGACTCTCTCCGCTGGTGTTGTCGATGGCCGAAACATCTGGAAGACAAACTTCAAGCATGCCATCGAGACGGTTGAAACCATCGTCCAGAAGTTGGGCAAGGACAGAGTCATCGTTTCCAGCTCAAGCTCGCTCCTACACACCCCTCATACCTTGGCAAGTGAGAAAAAGCTTGACCCTGAGGTCAAAGACTGGTTCAGCTTTGCTGTTGAGAAAGCCGACGAGCTGGTCATCATTGCGAAGGCTGTGAACGAAGGCCCTGCAGCAGTCCGATCAGAACTGGAAGCCAATGCGAAATCTATGCAGGCTCGTGCTTCGTCGGCTCGCACCAATGATCCCAAGGTCAAAGATCGACAGGCCAAGATTACAGAAGATATGCACAAGCGGGCCTCGCCTTTCCCAACACGAATTGCAGAGCAACAGAAGAGGCTCAACCTTCCCAAATTCCCCACTACCACGATCGGCTCCTTCCCTCAGACGAAGGAGATCCGCATCCAACGCAATAAATTCGTCAAGAACGAAATTACTGCCGAAGAGTACGAGAAGTTTATCGAGAAAGAGATCCAGGATGTAGTCAGGATCCAAGAAGAGCTAGATTTAGATGTCTTCGTTCATGGTGAACCTGAACGGAATGACATGGTGCAATACTTCGGCGAGCGCCTCAATGGGTATGAGTTCACTACCCATGCCTGGGTTCAATCATATGGCTCCCGCTGCGTTCGTCCGCCTATTATCGTGGGGGACATCTCTCGACCAGCTCCCATGACTGTCAAGGAGTCTCAATATGCCGCCTCCATCTCCAAGAAGCCCATGAAGGGAATGCTCACCGGTCCAATCACCTGCCTGAGATGGTCGTTCCCACGGGACGATGTCCATCAGTCAGTGCAGGCCCAGCAATTGGCTCTTGCTCTCCGAGATGAAGTCGTTGACCTCGAGGCTGCTGGTATCTACGTCATCCAGGTCGACGAGCCGGCCTTGCGGGAGGGTCTTCCTCTTCGTGCTGGGAAGGAGCGTGAGCGGTACCTGCAATGGGCTGTCAACTCTTTCCGTCTGTCTACTGCTGGCGTAGAGGATGGAACCCAAATCCACAGTCATTTCTGCTACTCGGAATTCCAGGACTTCTTCTATGCGATTGCCGCTTTGGATGCTGACGTCTTGTCCATCGAGAACAGCAAATCTGACGCGAAGCTCCTCAAGGTGTTCGTTGACGAGGCATACCCACGCCACATTGGCCCAGGTGTCTACGACATCCATTCGCCACGTGTGCCCAGCGAGCAAGAGATCAAGGACCGGATCCAGGAGATGTTGCAATACCTTAAGCCAGACCAGCTTTGGATTGACCCGGATTGCGGCTTAAAGACAAGGCAGTGGAGTGAGACCAAGGCCGCTCTGACCAACATGGTGAATGCTGCCAAGTACTTCCGCTCCCAGTATTGAGGATGTATCTGTATGTCCTGCTCAACCAGTCAACCTGGTTTTTGCATTGAAGCGATGACATGATAGGCGATGGTGTCGATAGCGTGATTCAACAATTCAAGATACCCGAGATGAGAAGGCATAGCGCCTCGATCTTAACATCGGCGTTTCGGGTCTCCAAAGGTATGGGCTAGTTAGACAAAAGCGTTCAACAGCATTGGGGAGATTGTAGCGATCTTTCAATGGTGGCCTCCTAACGAGGCTTCGAAGTACCAATTAGAACAGAGTATACATCAGAATCCAGGTCTTTGAACAGAATCTGGATCTATCCTTACATACTCTCCTGGTGTTCCTATGCATCGACATGTATAATACAAGTAGTAGTCACAATAAGAGATTAGAGACGGCTTGTCCGCGTAAAGCGGCAACAGAAGACGAGCCTTTCTGGTATCACGACTCCTCCAGACTGTCATTGGAATCCCACGATCCTTCAGGCCATTCGCCCTATTGGGCAATGATCGACAGGCACAGACCTCGCCAAGGCCTGGGGAAAGTGCATGCGTCATGGAAGGGGCCGTGGGAGGTGGGGAAAATGTAGACAGGGCATCAGAAGTACTCCGTACGCCTCGTGTTTTAGAGAAAGGATACATCAATCACTCCAGCAAAAGGTCAGCGCGAATTGGTGCGACTTACTTGCTTTCAATGTCTCCTCAGCGGAGAAATCACAATTGAGTGATTCTCGAGGCACCGGAGCCACGAGAGTCTGCTGTCATGGCTTCTTACCTTGCATCAATTCCAAGCATGGCTGACTTCTTCCCTCCGACTCCGCAGGCCTACAACGTTCTGTTCAGAGGATTTCAGGCTCTTCTTCCGGTAATCCTCTGCCTAAGTCTCCTACTGTATCTTAATCTTGGGCGAATCTGATCATCTGACACCGTTCAAGTTGTCTCTTCTACTATGGATCCCCCAGATAGCAAGCCTCCAGGCAATGGGCCGCACATCGTCCAGCAAAGCGCGCCTCAATCTCCCTGGCCGTTACGCCTGGGCCATCGCTGAAAGCGTCGGTCCCCTCAATATGCTCTTCATCATCTACACGCTCCCCTCCCGACTCCAGCCTCCCGCTGCCTCACCCGCCTCTCTCCTTCTTATACCATGAACTCCTTGCCCTCCTCTATCTCCTCCACTACCTCAACCGTGCCATCACCACCCCCCTCTTCCTCGCTCCGAGCATGTCCCCCATCGCAGCTCCAGTCGCCATCTTGATGGCAGTCTTTCAATACGTCAACTCGAGCTGTCTCTCCTGTTGGCTCGTATACGACGCACATTCCAAGCTCTCCCATTCAAACTCAATCCCTATCCCCTCCTCCCTCCTCTCCCCACCTTTCACGAACCCACTTCCCCTCCTCGGCGTCGTCCTCTTCACCCTCGGCCTCTACTCCAACATCGCTTCCGAAACCACCCTCTTCGCTCTCCGCCGCGCCGCCGCCCTCCGCCGCGCGAAATCCGAAGGAAAACCCCTCCACAACCTGTCCTACCACAAAGTATACGTGGTGCCCGAGCCGAAGGGGTGGTTCAAGTATGTGCTGTACCCGCACTATACGACGGAGTGGCTGGAGTGGACAGGGTATTGGCTGACAGGTGGTCTGGCCGGGTTGGGTTGGTGGGGTACGCCGGCGATGTGGTTTGTAGTCAATGAGGTAGGCACCATGGCGCCGAGGGCGCTGGATGGCTGGAGGTGGTATGAGGGCAAGTTTGGGAAGAGGGCTCTGGCCAGGAGGGCCGCGGTGGTTCCGGGGTTGCTTTAGTGGATCTGTGCTGACAGATTGCGGAACCCTCTGTTCACATACAATATGATAGTAGAATGGATTTCAGCGTGCTTCTATATGCGATAGCAGTGTGACGTCTTGGTATTTACGCCACATGAACTCGAGGAGCCATGACGCGATAAGGTACCAAGCTCCGGATGTAGTAATATGGACTTCTGCAACGACTTCTACCCCAACAAAGTGGCAAGACACGGTCTTCCTGCGCAAGGCCTTCGAACAGCTTATGCAGAACCAGGTTTGCTGCGCAGTTATCTTGCTATGATGCACCCCGAGATCTCGAAGTGACTATATGTACACAGATGCACCAGAAAGCCCGCACTCCAGATACCAGGGTAGATGGAGCTCAGCCCGGAGGCAGCGTACTGGCATCCACCAGATCTCCAGCGTCTCTCTCCAGCTCCTCGTGCGGTCCATACAGCGGGGAGCGCGGGAGAGCCATCAGACCCGTTCTCGTCGATTCGAGGATACCGAAGGGGGTGATGAGTTTCATGAAAGAGTCGATTCGGGAGGGTTTGGCGGAGCTGTTGGTATATGGATCGTTAGTACTGGTTTTTTTTGGATATTTTTTTTGGGGTGTCTGGAGGCGGGCTTACATTTCGACGATACAATTGTTCGTGCTGATATCCAGCACTTTCCCTCCAAATTGATGGGTCAGATGCGTGATGGCCTCGAGATGTTCGTGTTTGTGTCTCAGCGCTTGACTGGCAGCCAGTCGCGATGGGTGATAGTCTGTCCCTGCGCCTAGCGCTTCTTTCGCTCTTTGAATCAGCCCGTTCTTCTCGTCACCTGATGGTCCTTGTTGTCGCGCCTCCAGTTCTTGAAGTCTAGCCTCGGCATTCTCCTCTGCCGCCATCTCTTCACCAGTGGCTTCAGACGTCATCTCCCGATGGTGCTCCATGAGTTCTTCGTAGACTTCGGGGCCGAGAATCGACACTTTGGCAAGGAGGAGTTCGCGTTGAACCAGGGCTGCCGAGGTGTAATCTAGCACCGCCCACACAGGCACGAGATCTTCCAACTGCCGCCTTGCCTGCTCAACTACACCGTCGAGACCACGCAGCACGATCGTCATGCGCGAGAGGTCTTCTACCTCCGTGTTGCAGACAACCAGGGAATCAATGTTGAAGCCCCGCGCAGCTAGGATGCCGGATATTCGGGAGAGGACCCCCGGCTCGTTCTGGACAAGGCAGTTGAGGATGTGCTTCTTAGGTGGGGCTTTGGACATGGAGGGTGTTTCGTAGAGGATGGAGGATACCGCTGCAGCGGCCCCATAGGAGGGGACAGTGTCGGAAACGGGGAGGGGGAGGGGGGAGCGTCGGTGCACGGCTTTGTAGGCGAGAGCTGAGGTGCTGTTGGTGGAGCGAGAGCGGTGTTGGCTTGATGGGCGCAAGGTGTCGCGGAGGGAAGGATGTGAGGCCCATGGCTCTTTGGGGAGAGTCCTTGTGGTTGAGCGAGTTAGCAGCGAGACGAGTGAGCGTCCGGGTGCCATGACGGCGAGGTCGTTGAGAATGGAGCCCAATTGGTTTTCGGAGTGTGCACACTGAATATCTATGTCAGGAAAGGTCTTGTACAGAGGACCACGATCGAAGGAGAGCGCATGGGTCAGTGCCACATAATTTTTACTTATTGAGCAAGCTGAGTTTGGGAGAGATGAATCCTCACACCGAACTCGGACCGCTTCCGCGCTACTGTAAGTACTGGGGCATCTCCCTCCCTCACATGTCAGCCTCTGTATTCTTAAGACTGTCACCTAGAATCGTCCTGCTACTCCTCGCTGGCGAGGGCTTCTGCCCCGGGAGCGAAGGCAGGGTCGGACACAGGCCTGCACCTCAACATAGTGCTGATAGCGTCATGATCGCTCACTCTTCTTCAAGCAGTTGGAGCTTCGCTTGAGGCATGACAGGATCATCCACAGGATCATCCACAGGATCATCCTAGACAATTAGGCTGAGGCTGCGTGGCGAGTAGACCTTCTCACCCAAAGATTGCAGGTTATGTCTACGCGATTGCCAGATCTGCTTCCTATGTCGTTGGTCGAGCTTTCCTGTGCTCGTGCTCGTGCTGGTGCTCGTGCTCGTGCCCGTGCTCGTGCCCGAAGTTGCTATTTCATTCAGTTGGCTAAGTAGTTATGCTCTTAGGATGGCCAACAATCATTCTTGGACCATCTCCTTTTCTTTGCTCAAAACTGTCAAGGTGGCGTTACTCATTTGCATATCCATCTGATCGTTCAAGCCTTTCCTATGGCGTTTCTGCTTTGCTGTCGAGGGCCTCGATGCCTCTCCCCCTCCTTCGTGCCACCCGACAGTGAGCGATTGCGCACGCTACAGCCCCCTTCACTTGTTTCTATGGTATTACCATCGGACACAGTGCCTCATCGACCTAACACCGGCGCCAATGATACTCAGGCACTACGTGACATATTTGGAATATCACCTACATCCCATCGAGGCTATCAGGCGGCCACCAAAGGCTCCGGCTCCTTTGACGCAGCCTTCAAGTTCGGCCCTGAGACCCCAACCAAGTCAAGGAACAAAAAGAGGCGATCAATAGACAAGTTTAGTCATCTACGTCAACATCTCTCTCGATCCAGATTATCGAACCACAGTTCGGGGAAAAGTATGAAGGAGATCAAGAGCACGGAAACAGTGGTTCACTCGAAGCTGCTACCCGACAGTCACACCTCTGCAGGCTTGGACGATCTACTCATTAGCCGGAGTGTTAGCGAAGGTGGGTATGATAGCGATGCAAGAGGTATATTGACCCCTTCATTGACGGAAGCAAGCGCTGGCTCCGTCATGGTGAGTCCCGAGTACACTGCGAAGGTTCTTGATACGTTCGATAGCTCGCCAAGCAAGAGGTCTGCTTCGCTTCTGCCAACACCATACAATATTGCTAAAATGCATCATCCTCCCGCTGGGGTGGCCCGTACTTCTACCGCCAGAAAGAGCCAGAAACACCATACAAGAGAGCCGTTGGCCGAAGCACCCGAGCCACAAGTCAGGGTTCGATCCACTTCGACTCCAAGGAAGCACGTGACTCCGCTCCGGGACTCCTTTTCTGTCTTGTTGCAGCTTCAGCCTCAGGAGTCTCCAACCGACGTCTTACGTCGCCTAAGTGTCGGGTTGGCCAACGGAACGGTCAAGCTACCAGATACCCCAGAGCTAAAAGCCATGCGAATGCCAAGTATCGTGGAAGCGATGCCAGAGTGGAGGCTCAGCTTTGCCGCTCCTAAAAGAGCTTCCAGTCTCCATCGAGGTGACACTGAAGTCAGACAAGCTCTGAAAACTTTGAGCGAAAGGGTAGAGAGGGCGAAGAGGGATAGTGTTGTTAGCGACCGGACATCCACTGACAATCATGCCAGTCTAATCTCGAACCTTGATCCTACTCTACTGCAATACCTTAGCCGGTACAGCGACGAGGAGCAGCGTGATCGACTACATGAAGCAACGGATGAAGTCGATGGTGGTAGAAAGGGTGGGGAAGCATTCAGAGAGGCATCTGACCCGGACACCATATTTCATGCTGATACTAGTGGACCGCCTGACTCCAATTGTGGACAAACGGAACCTGCGGAGCGCTTGGTGAACGCTGCTTCTGGCGAGCAGCACAACCAATGTGGGCACGAAAGCCTGCGGGATGAGAAAGATTCAGTCCATCTATTTGACATGCGAATATCGCAGAGACTTGCTTCCACTTCCGTCCTACCAACGACTTTACCAAGCAGCACGAATCTAGGCTCCAACCAGCACTATATGGATAGAAGCTCGCAGAGTTCTGCCAAGCTGGATCGGTTTCCTGCCATTACCCGACGAACATCAGCTGAAAGTCTGCGAAGGCCGAGCGACCCGAGAACGAGAAGACTTTTTGAGCCTGATCATCCGGCCGATGGGCAGAGGATACAACCAAAATGGCGGTCAGGGATATTGGGGAGCAGCATGAATCCCGATCAGTCTAATCAAGGTGCCGAAGTAAGCAGAGATGACACGAGCTCAATATACATGAGTGATGCCGGGACAGGGGATGTCGATGTGAAGAGTGTGGCCTCGCACAGGGCTCGGTCGAGCTCACAGGCCATGTCAAATAGTCTTGCAATAGCTGGACGGCAAGGACTGCTAGGCATCCCGATCGACCAAAGGCGGAATAGCATTGGCCAAATGATGAGGACCCACGGCCAGACCCAAACCAAGTCATCCAGAAGTGTCAGCCATACAAGAGGCAAGGAGAGCAAGTTCTCCGAGGATTTCGACGTCCAGCAAAAGAAGGTCGGAGGGAACTTACAATCCGAAGGAGCCAACACTCTTGCAAACGAGAGTATGAGCATGCTCGATTTCTTAGCCACGATCGACCCCAAAGCAGACGGGAACGGGAAGATGAGTGAGGACGAGTTTGTGGGAGCACTGAACGAGAGGCTGAGGTCCAGTCTTCAGACGCAGCGGAAGAGAAATACAGCTCAGCACAAGGACGTATTGGAAGCTAGCATGAGCAATGGTCTATCCTTGGGAGGCAACATGAACCAGTTCAGATCTAGCAACTTCAGTGCCATAGATGAACCTACGAGAACAAGTCTTCGAGGCCGAGAAGAATGCGCAACAAACATGTGGGAACGGGCGCTGAGGATGGCGAGCGAGGATCCCAACCTTGCGAGTTCTGCGAGCTTAGGAAGCCCTTTCGGACGACTTCGACAAGACCGATCTCGATTCCGACGTTTGAGCGATAGCCGGCCTTATCATCACCACATACCAGGAGGGTACAACACCATACCTGCCAGGCAGAGCAGATCCCTTTCACCCGACAATGCTGCAACCACACGACCTCGCCAAGATTCCTTCAACCGTGGTCAGCACCATTCACCTTGCATAGAGGCTAAGAAACCTCTGACTCGATCGACAAGCCCGGCCCGGTCAATGAGAACGAAGAAGAGAAGTTTACTTGACATTAGTCGCTTCACGACTCTAGGCCGGCAAGGCAATAACAACACCGCCAAAGATTCACCAGCTACAGCAACCCCCACCCGAGACCTCCTGGCCTGGGCCCGTTTCCCCAGCCACACGCGTCTTACCCGCAACGGCGCAGCTGCAGAGAATGACGGGGTTTCCACGAGGGACTTTTCCCTGCCATCCGACACGGAGGAATTCTCCGACCGGAACCGCTCGAAACTTTCACTTATGACTCAACCAGCCAACATGGGTGCAAATACCCCGGGATCATGGAAATTTCTCAGATCTGGCCACGGAAGGACGAAGAGCCGGAGCATGAACTTTCCCGTCCCAAACTTGGATCAAACAAAGAGGGAGCCGGAAAAGGTAAAGGTGAAGAAGAAATCATCGGCGCTTGTCCTCACCCGTTCGCTGGCCAAATGGACGGGTTTGTATCGCAACCACTCGAGTGATCTGAGAAGACTCAGGGCTGGTCACCGGAGCTCGGTTCCGAAAGGTGGAGAGGTCGATTTTCCCGAGTTGGAGATCGTGCCAGGGTTTGATGGTGGAGCGGGTGGGCCTGGGGCGAGGGTGAGGATGGAGCAGTTGGGAGATTTTGAGGAGTTGAGGAGGAGATGGGAGGAGAAGGGCGGGAGGGTGAAGGGTGAAGATCCGGTCAAGACGGGGGTCACTTTGGCGCAGGCGGAGGCTGAAGTTGATGAACGAGCGCGGCGGGGTTGATGAAGGAATGATGGAGCGAACGCCAACACGACAGCGACCCCAAGCCACAGCAACAACGGGTAATGGAAATTCATGGGCTGACATCTACCAAGCTTGTGTCATCAAAGACGACGACAACGATCTTGAAGACAGTCTCACAGGTCCAAAACGCAACCTACTAAGCTCCACCGACGAGTTCACCGTTTCCATCCGCACCGCGACAGGCCCACATGCCTCGGCGGGATCACGCGAGGGCGAAGATAGCTACACCTCCTGCTCGGTCGACACGAGCATGAGCATGAGCAATGATCTTCTACCTCCTCCTCGTCGTCTTTCTCCTCTTGGTGGAACCCGTCCGACCGGGCCTACGGAGCTAGAGTCGTATTGTCAGCGGGAAAGGGAGAACATGATGAAGAGACTTGTTTCGTCGGAGTTGAGAGATTCGACGACGGATTTTAGGATGCAGCTGCTGGAGGAGGAGAGGAGGGTCCGGGAGAGATTGTTGGGTGGTGTTGAGGAGGGATAAGAGGGTAATGAGGGAAAGACAAAGGAGGTAGATGTGACATGAAGAGAGGGGCAGAGGGATGGAAGGGATGACGGGAGAGGGGGAGTGAAAGAAGGTATTGTATTGGTACAGGACGACTGATCAGTACAAGTATGGATAGTGAAATGAACGGGTAGCATGACATAGATGCTGGATTCTTCACCAGTTAGTTGGGGATAAGATGGCTACTCAGCATGCTTACCATTCATATTATTTTAGCAACAAGGTTCAATGTCATGCGTCCATCCATTAATCCAAAGAGAATCCAAGAAGCTTGAGGGAGACCTTAAACAGTAAAGTAACTCCCTCTCCTATAGATCAGTAAGCACATCCACGCCGACCTACGTCATCATCACCACCACCACCACCACCACCACCACCACCATCAATTTCACCCTTTCCCACGAGTAGTAACCAGTTAAAAATCCGGTTAATCAATAACCCGGATAAGTAATCAATCATCATCATCATCATCAACAACAACATCCCCTGCTACCGCCACGACACAACCAGACATTTGATTTGGTTATGTTATGACATGATGATGACGATGACGAGAGAGGGGGGCAACCACTACTCCTTTGTTTGTCACTTAGCACGACGACGCGCAAAAAAAACCCCACGAACCATGACTTCGGTCTAAGAAACCCCTGCGTTAAAATAGAATACTAGTTAGTCAGTGCTGTTGCTGTTAACGATGGAGATGATTCACGGCGAGGCTTTCTCTGCTGGGGAAAATTGGATTTGTCTGGTTTGGTTTGGCTTTGGTTTAAGATGCAAAGCACTCAGATGACTGAAGGAGGGGAGTTGAGTAGGAAAAGATGGATGGAGGAATGAAGATGGGAATTATGCATGAGATTCTCATCAAGGGTATGTATGTGCCTTCATGCTGATGTTGCTTTCGGCCGCCTGGGCGAATGTGAGAGATGTTGGTTGGTGGCTAGCTATTTGCTCCACTTGTTGGAACGGAGGAAGTAGTTTGGTCGAGGTGAGGTGCCTCATCTATGCAGGAATATTGTATGGATCCGAGTTGGGCGAGGATGGATGAGGAGAGACATATCGAGGGGAGGGGGCGGGAGGCGGAAGGGGAAACAAGTGGAGGAAGAGAGATGGAGAGAAGAATTGCAGTTCGTGGTGAGGTCATGTGGGATTGGAGGCACCGCAATGAGCGTGTCGAGGCGAGGTCAGGTTGATAGGAGGTATGGCTATGTGTCAAAGTACGCGACGCGGCTCTGCTCTGCTACAAGCCAGAGGATTGATAAATGGAACTGCGGGCAGGGCTGTCTGTAAGCCGCGATTGACTTAGCACTTTGCAAGAAGCATCGGAGATTAGGACATGTAGGAAACCATGCGAATCTCATGGTGATCCATTATTAGTAGACAAAGTGCCTCCAGGGTGTGCTCTATCTCCACCTTCCTACCCAGATGATTACCGTACGACGGGCTATGTGACCGGGTCCGAAATAGAAGCAGTAATGATATGCAGTGTCGCCCAGATGCTTGTTCCCCCCCGGTGCTGTGCAAGGAAGAATGCCGAACGTCGATTCATCATGAGCACTTTCCGGTCGCTTTGGCCATGCCTCCAAGCCAGACATTAAGCTCGTCACCTGTTGCAGAAAGGAAATACGCCTTGCATGGGGAGAATATTTAGGGAATCCCTGACGCCACAGACCATGCTGATGCCCCCTTCACATTCGCGTAGTGTGAGAGGCAGCGCCCCAAAAATGCCGCTGAACATAATGGTAAATGCCTGCGACACGAGAACAACAGATCAAAGGCCGAGTCGTCATGCAAACCAAGCCCAGCTGTTGTCCCAGATTACAGTTTGTTCTGATCATAGCTTTTCTTCCTCAGCTTTTTCAAAAAGCCATTCTTCTCCTTCCTTGGAGGTGTTGTATCCACCAGCCGAATAGTCGTCACCTTTCCAGCATCTCTTGGTTTGTCAAGGCTCTCTTTACCGAGTATCGTGGCTTTACTCCGGCCGTTAGGGAGAGGCTCGTTTGAGGCAAATGCATCTCTATTACTGGTTTTCGGAGCTGGTGCTGTCGTTGGTCTCTTCGAGTCTCCATCTTCGCTTCGAGACATGGGAGTTTTGCTCGATTTGAGAACAGGTGCAGGTACAGTGTCTCTAGGCTTGTATTTTGCAATATCAGGAGGGAAGACGACCGATGCATCGCTGTCGGAAAGCATTTCGTCCAACCCACGCCAGAAGTCAGGACTGGGTGATGCATGGTTGCCAGTTTTCTGTGAGCCGGTTTTCTGTGAGCTTTGGTGTGATGGACGGGCGGTCACTGGTGGCGAGTCTGAGTACAGGCCAGCGAAGCGCTTTCTCGAAGGCGAGACAGAAGTTCGGCGAGACACATCTTTTAGTGTTTCGAAAAGGCTGGGATCCATTGCATCATCACTGTCTAGAGGATCCCTTGATGCGACACTGTTCTTGCCTGATTCGTGTAGAGGCTTCTGTGCTTTGCGAGGGACTACTGGCGGAAGGGCTGTTGTCGAGTGCATCATCTCCGAGTCCATACTTGAAATGGAATCATACGAGCGATTGCGGCGAGGCTGCCTCAGCGTGGCTGAAGTTTGGTTGAAGCTAGTGGCAGGATCTCTCCTTTTGGGTAACGTTATAGGACCGTTGGTTAAGGGAGCGGAGTGCTTAAAAGTGGAGGATTTGGGAAATTGATTTGTCGAAACGGTTGGTGAGGGATCTGTGTCGGCATTGTGAATTTCTGTGATGGTAACATCTGAAAAGTGTGCGTCTGAAAAGCCAGCAAAATTGGGCTCCTCTTCCGGATCGGGATAGTACATGTCAGTGTCTCGGGTCATAGACGACGGCGTCTTGCTATTGGCCGGGATGGCTTTAACTGCAAGGTGATTCGGTTTGCGACTCGATGAGTGTTTTGTATCGGGCCCGGAATGCTGATTGGAAGCGGCTTCCGGAGCTTCCGCAGCAGGCTCGAGCTCGTAGTCATTCAGGTTGATGACGCTGGGAGGAGATATTCTTGGTTCACCTCTGACACGAGACGATGCTTGCGGTGGGAGTGGTGGAGGCGGCTCTGATGGTACAAGTCCCTCTGAAGCTTCGCTGCTGGATCTTCCTGTGTATGTAGAAACAGATGGCAGCTTTCTCTTTTCCGTCCTTAAGTCACGAACATCGGACTGTCTTTGAGACTGTGGTGGACGCTCATATGGCTCAAATTTCTTGCGCAGCACCACATGCTCGTCACTAGACCCTTCATCAGACTCAAGGATGACATCCCGTCTGGCGGTTCCACCGTACTCTCTACGGCTAGTGACAAACCTCGAAGTAGATGCATTGTCTCCTGAAATTTTATATCTGGCGCTGTATCCAGTTGAAGGAGTGACCGAGCGTGACGTGCCATTCGTGCGCACTTTAGACTTTGTCGTGATTGACGATCGCGCTGAGGGTGGGTAAGTCTTGAGGTATGCTATATATTGATCATTGGGAAGATCGATAAGGCCCAAGCTGGAGTAGTGCGCTAAGACCACGCTGTGAGAATATTTGTTTGGCATTCTACCATCCAATCAAGCTGGTTCTATTAGTTTGAGTAGTAGGTCGACGCTTGGGTAGAGGGGATTGCCCCAGATGGTGGTAATGAGACGGAGATCTGGTGGTGGGATGGGGAATGGTAGGTGGGTTTGACAGATACATGGAAACATGAACCGAGACTAGGTGGTTGAATAGTGAATAGCGAGGCCCGAAAATGTACGGTCTAGACTGCGATGCAAGAGCTGATAGAGCACGAGACGATGTTGAAAGCAAGAAAGAATTGAAGGTGTCATGGGTGTGCAATACAGCATGGGGGGCTGGCCAGGTGTACCACGCAGCCGAAGATGATCAGGAACGATCTTCAGCGGGTAGAAATAATGGACATGGTTCCACAGAGGTGAGTTGAATCATGGGGCAAGGATTATACGTTAGCTAGCTGCTTCTCATCTGGCGCACGAGATGTTACTGATCAGGCCAAATTAGCATTCATGGTGGGATGACTTCCCACGGCGGGATTCGTAAGAGACAAGGCTTGCAGTTACGTAGTAGGCCACAGCCAAAATTCAATTGCAACTCAGCAAATTCTTATTTGATCTTGAGAAGATAAAGTTTAGGTTAGTCTTTTCTTGCTAACGTGATTTGCAGTGATCAGACTTAGCTGCCGCCGCCTCTAGCGTGGGCGATGGATGGATTACCGAGTGTGTGGGGCCCCAGGAGCGCAATAATCACCAGTAGCGGTAGGCCTTCCAAAGCATATCACTACGACCTAGTTCCTTGGCTGCCGCTTAAGCATAAGTTCTTAGCAGGAAGAAGCCCTCTTAAAATAATGCTAGGGAGCCATCAAAGTGCGCTCAGCCTAAGCCTAACCATAAGATTGCTTACTACGTAGAGGTGTACAAGGACACACAGCTTAGCCGTCCGTGATCCAATGAATCGTATTATTTCCCACGTATTTTGCTGAAAATATGGTCATAATATGGTCATAATATGGTCAAAATATGCTTCTCTTCTCGTCTTGGTATACGGTCGTCATTTGACAGAATAGCTGCCACTTCTACTAACGGCACTTAGCTCATACCTTTAGCTACTCCGTACCCCTTCTCCTGGTAAGTTCAATGCAGTGAAGCACCAGACGCAACTAGTTTTCCACCAAGTCAGTTAACTAGTAATCCTTGCAGAGCCCGGGTTTTCTAGTGTGGAGTGTACACGTAGTTACATTTCCCTGATGCCCAAGTCCACTCAATTCAAGTCACACACGTGACTTGCTCCCATCTCAAAGCACAGAATTGGCAGAATTGGCACAATTAGATCTTTCAGACACTGGTCAGTCGAAGCGGTTACGTCCACACCTCAGGATACTGACCGTACCGCCTTTCACTTACACACTGTAGTGGACAACAACCGCAAATTTTGTGGGAGCGCAATTGTGAAACTAGCTGACCTACTAGTGCAGCCTATCCCACCCTTTTGGTTCATTCGGCTTATCTCCACAAGGGTTACAAGGCGCTGCAATATCCACAACCCCAGTGTCCTGCACCTCATCAAATACAGTGGCGCATCTAGCTCTTGCGCATCTAGCTCTTCTCTTACGCATCTCTCGTGGATATCATGGAAGGGCAAGACGCTGTCCTGGACAGCGCACTGGTAAGAGAATCAGTATCTAGCCACAATGATGCAATAAGCCGTTGCACCGGGGCCTCCCCCGTGATCATGCAGTTTCCCGTGCACGGCACGTAGCAATCATAGCTGTAGGTAGCTGTAGGTAGACGTTTTCCTAGGGCTTGGAACCGGGTTGGATCTGTCCCTGGCGGCCCAAATGAATGAATTGAGTGAAGTCTGACCTCCCACACCCCCAGCTACCCCGTAGTAATAGCCTGAAATATGCACATGAAAATCTCAAGATGGCCTGCAACGCTAGCCTATCAGCACAAACAACGGCTCGGGTCCAACGCCACATTTGCATGTCGTGGAAAAAATAATCAAGCTCAAGTACCCTCTGCCGTGTCGGCTGGCAAATGCAATAAGGATTTCCGAAAAACTTGCCCGTGCGTCCTCCCGTTGTCCTTCCAGCCAACCGCGTCAGTTTTGCCTCTGAAATTTAGCAATCGCCAAAACTCCTCGCAATTAAGCACAAAGTCGTCCAGGAGAATCATAACGAAAATAATGCCGTTCAAACATGTCTAACCCTCCCCAGGTTGTTCTCTTAATGATTGCCCACCATTTTTTCGTTTACCCAGGAGCCTCATTCCTTTCTTCACCCAGTTGCCGCCACTATCGCTCCTTTGCGGCTTGGGACTCTGACGCCTGGCCGAAGATCCCACATGTAAATCACTGCCTGGAGGTGTGGTAGGTGGAGTCATGGGGTCGATAGAACCAGGACTACCTGCACTGGCGCTGTCGTCCGTCAAGCCACCTTCATAACCGGAGGCAGCGGATGAATTCGAGACGTGAGTTGACAGTCTTGTACCAGAAGTACGACCTAAAGCCGATGTAATGCTCGAAGATTGTGTGTGACGATGAGATGTGCCAAGGGTCGGTGATTTGGGCCCAGAGAATTCAAGGCTGGAGCTCGCGGTGGGGGACCGGCGCCTTCGCGAGGTCTTCCGGTGTAGGAAATCTGCCCGTTCGTCAACCAGTGAAGATGACAAGTCAGATCGGCCTTCTCTGCGGCCGCCAAAATCAGAGCTCGGGCCACTGAATGTCTCTGCTTTAGGCGCTGGACTGAAACTGTTGAGGAATGGCATGAAGATAGAATCCGCCATCAGATCATGCATTCGTTTGACAGCAGGATCAAGCGCTTCAGGTTCAGGCGGCTTCTGTGAAAAGCCCTGTTCAAGAAGGTCATCCCGCACCTCTGCAGGTAAATTGATCTCTCGAGGCGACCCAGGTTTGATGTATACATCTAGGATGCGGACCCATTCTCCTTGCAAGCCGTGAACACTCTTATGCTCATAGTTCATGGGCATACCCGCCAAATGAGCCGCAATTTGTGCATAATTTTCTTGGTATTTTTTGGCATCCACTGTAAACTCCAGCGTTTCTAGACAATGTTGTTGCGAGAGGTAGGCAGTGAAAGCACTGAGGGTATAAGGAGGTTGAGAGCGATTTTCAAGGATATCGTTCAATGTAGGCGGTGAGAATGATGTTGCATGTTCGCGAGATGTACTTGCTATACTGATTGGTCTTGAAGACCTCAGATCCTCAGCTGACATAGTGGCTTCGTCGTCTGCGTCCCAGTCCGAAATAACAGGTGAAAGTTGAGGCGAAGTTTCCGGTGTCAAGATCCAAGGTTTTGCTGTCGACGGAACGAAGTGCACCTTCCGCGTGATCATTGCGTTGTGCTTTTGGTGACGATCAAAATCTTCCTAATCTTGTTCCTGGCTGGACGCGAAGTCCCGTCCAGTGGGAGCCGGCTAGGAGTCTTCCACTGCGCCAGTTTGACGATCCACAAATTGCCGCCCAGCAAGTATCCAGCAATCCAAGTCGAAGAGGACCTGCTGTTGATGCGAATGAATTCTGCAAGTTATATAATGTGAGTGGCGTTGATGGTGGATCTTCTCCTTTGTGGCTCAGAATTCCGTTAATAGCTGCCTGAAAAAATTGTCTGACGTGGAGATGTGGAGTCCTCCTGCTGCAGATTGCTATGTTTCAACTACCAGAACCCATGGCTGCGTTATCTCAAACGACGAGATTCGGATGGGACAAAGGATCAACGGAGAGCGCTGTCGAAAAATGCAGGCGACAGCGGATGAAACTTCGAACCGAGATTTCGGTGTGTTGATTGATGATGAGAGGTAGGAAGGATGCTTGCAGCGGATGCAATGGGAGTGGGTTGAAAGTAAGGTGTTAGGTAAAAATGAAATGCTAGTGGTGCTGATAGCCGATGAGGATTCCGAGGTGTTTGGCGACTGGCAAGAGCTTTTCCTCTGGTTGCTGCTGTACACTGGAGAGGTCTGAAAAATGCTGTCTTGGAGAGGCTAGAGATGGACATGAAACGCGCAAGACGCAGTTGCAGGAATGCAGCAGTCAACCAGATTGACTGCAATTGAAGCACAGGCGTTCATAGCTTGATTGAAGCGATCGTTGCCTATATCGACGCCTGAGCATAAAGGCGCGAGGGGAACGACGAGTAATTGGCTGCTGAGGGGAAATCGGAATGTGTCGTATTGCGGAGGCCTGCAGTGTTAGGCTCAGGATGAGAAGGATGATCGTTTTCCAGAAGGCCAATCGAAGGCGTTAGACAGCCACAGAACTTCAATAGTGGAGGGGCTTGCTGTGTAACAGCGTCACGCGAAGGCGCCCTCAACATTCAAGGAACTTAGGACAATTCCCTTCCAGGACATGTTTCCATTCAGACATGTTTTACACTACTGCAGCTGTACTCCGTCCACCTCTCAGTATTGTAAGATAAGAGCGGTCCGCTACTAGTCTCGTAATAGCTGGTCTTGGACGTTCGTGATTATATTATCTTCCTTACTGCTACCCACGATTCATGAACAAATTAATTTAACTACATACATGCCTGGACATTACAGGTTTTCGGACGACATACAGTAAGTACTACGTAAGGATTGCTAATTTCTTAGCCACCGTATGACTCCTTTCGAGGGGTCATAGTGGCAAATATACCCAATGACGAGTGAGACCAAATGAGGAGGGCAGCTGCCTTAGCACCCGTAATGCTTAACTAATGCTATCGCTATTGTGGGCCATTTCTACACGATAGCCGCTGTGTGGATTGTGGCTTCCGTATCCAGGCTAAAACTGGAATGAGTCCTTTTACGACACAGCGGATATGCACGGAACCGAATATGCTCAACGCCCCAAGCGGGCCTGCTAGGACAGGCAGGATATGGAGAACAAGGCTGGAAGGCTACTAATGGGTTACAAGCTTTCTGAGGAGCAATGGTCCGGATCTTCCGCAGCCGAGAATTATCATCACAACCAGCGCCCCGTGATGCTGGCACTTCACTGTGTCGTTCAGACAGGCGGGTCATGTAGAGCTTGTTATAGTGTCAGAAAAGCGACCTCTGTGGCTCTTTAGCCTGCTGACAACCTTGGTACCATAAGTTAGCACGTTCAGGTGGAAAACGACTCTATGTCGCTGTTCCAAGAAGGAGGTTTGTCGGAGGAAGGTTGCCAGTTCAAGGTGGGAGTGACGAGGATCACATACAAGGGGTTGTAGCATAGCAAACGTAATTCACCATGCGTCATTGCTGAAAAGAAGGGATGATAGGCAGCTTCTCGAAATTTTTCTCAAGACTTCTGGACTACTTCGAGAAGAAAAGTTGGCCAGTTAGTAGTAAGTTAGTAGTAAGTTAGTAGTACTGCATGCGGAAGGCATTTTCCCAGCTTCCTCCGATGATTTGCCGACGTCCGACTGTGCAACCACCGAAAAATTGCTCCTTCGAAAGAACCTATTGACCTTGATTCAATCAACCCTTGTTTCAGCAAGCGTGAGCCCGGGTTTCGTGAAGCTTGTCACATCTTGTGTTCCAGTTGATAAGGTCGGTAATCCAGCTCTCGCCACGTTCTGCATGTGACAATTGTGCGATAAGAATACTGTACGATGACACGAGCACCTTACCGGTCAAAGACAACTCGTTTAGCACCCATGGTCTCCAAGGCTGATGTACTTGTGCTCCAGCCAGTCGCTTCTAGTTGTTTGACCCAACCTGGAAAAGCAGCATTTTGCTCTTTCAATGTGGAACTGAGAAGACGAAGTATGTCGGACCCAGAAGGGCTGACCTCCTTCGTACATTCCAATGTATGCATGCAACGCAGAGCATGAGCCCATGCTCGCAGCTGGGATTGGGCCGTTGCATTGTCGAGGAGGACAATTATGGCTCTTCTCTTGCCGGCATCTATCCACAGAAGATACTGCTCTTCGGCAAAGACACGCAGCAATTCCGTAATGTTGACTCTCAAATCCTGGGCGGATCCTGTTTTCGAATGGACTTTCCCAATCCGACGGAGGAATCTTGTGAAAGGTACTCCGATCTCACAGGTACCAATTGCTTTCGAGCCATTCCATCGAAGAGTGCTACTCCGCTCGAATATGCGTTCCTGTTTGGCTACCTTGTCCGGAGGAAGGGCTTGACCATCCTCGATCAAAGCCGAGAAAACGATGTTGGCGCGTTGGCTGTTCATCGAGGGCATACTGACAGAGCGCACTGCAAGGTAATTGGTGGATAGGTGAACAACAATCAATATTATGAGCCAGATCCACGTCGCCATTGTTGAGGTTGCATAGGACACCACCACTCCACCGACCCACATTCCGAGAAGCGAAACAACAGTCTCTTGGCTCGAGTCTTTCGCATTCAATTCTCCAATGTTGCCCGTTCTGGCGAAATGTGCACTGAGGGTTGCTTTCGAGCTTCCACCTGCAACACCGCACAAAGCACGAAAGACACTAGAGGCGCCCAGCAGAGGTACTCTGACCAGCTTCGGAAGCATCGGACTCAGGCAATCAGATACCATGGCGGTGTCATTGAGTACATCGGCCAAGAATCGGTACATTTTACATTCCGCTTCTATAGCACTTCCCACACGATGTGCAAAAAGAATGGTTGCCACCCGCCCCATCGACTCTTGTAGCACATTCAGAAGCATGGCATTGGTAGCAGACGCATTCTCGTCACCCACGCCTAGACCTTGAAGCACTGCTCGGGAAGCCAGGAGCCCTGCAATCGAGGAAGAAAATGCTTGCAGCGCATTGTAGACATGATAGGCGGTGTAATCGGGCGAAATAGTGTTCGGGTAGCCTGTGGGAAGAAAGATCCCTAGCAGACGGCGTGCCAGCGGGATGTTATCCTGCATCGGAACGGTTTCAATCCGATCGATGACAGAACCAGCGCCATGAGCAATGTAGAGGGACTTCTGATTGCCTGCCTCGTCGAGGTCGCGAATTCTTAGTTGAGACATTGTATGCAACCCTCCCTCGTCCCTCAGAGGTTTAGTGTCGGATGCATCGTTCATCATATGTTGCTTTGAAGAAGGCATCTCCCAGTTGGAGTTTGGACTGTGAATGTTAAAGATAACCTTGTTGTATTGAATGAGTGACTGTGATGTAGGTGGGAACTTTCAGGACAATCGGTGAATACAAAGCTTTACTGGTAGCACTTGCCCCCGAAACCGAAGAACATGTGCTGGCAACATGGCTTCTATCTACGATAAATAAAAAACCACACCTGTGCTATCTAGTATAGTAACGCAGGAGCATATGTATCAGGCTTGGCAGAGGTCAATCCTCATTTCATTCCACGTTAGATCTCCGTCATCGCCATTTTGATATTTGGGCATCCTTGTTGAGTCACTTATTGCATATTTAAGCAGAGTCTAGTAGTTACTTTTCTGTTCACGAATGTAAGATATATACTCCACTTTAGCCGCTTCGAGTAATAATATGGGTATCATGCATGGTGTGCCAGAGATATATACAAGTGATGTACTGAGGCCCAAACAGGCTGACCGGCTTGAAGGCCGAAGAGTTCGTTCCTTTAACGCACAGACTCAGAGTCTAATCCTTTGACGCATCTTGATGGTTGCTGTTGTTGAACCATGGGTGCCATATATGCTTAAAGTCGGAGCGTGACCTCCTTCAACCATACAGACTCGCGCCCCCAGTCTGGATAGCTTCCATCTCTGCCTCGGTGAACGGAGTTCTTCGAAACCTCATAGGGAGCTCATTTCGATCGAAGTATTCTCCCTGCTTCGGCTGCACCGGGCCCAGCTCCCTTCCTGCACGACCGCCGACTGCTCCGTATGTGAGAGACGATATTGGCGCAGAAGGAGTAGTCTTGCTTCCTCCACCACCAGCTAGAGGTCCATGCTGCTGAGCTTTCGATCTGTAATTGGCGAAGGAGTCGGGCAATGATTCACTTGGGGAAGCCGGATGAGCATGTGGGGTGTGATCAACGGATTCTATTGACTGTTAGTGTCCACAGAAGACCTCATAGGAAGCAGCTATATGCTTTAGCTGTGGCTTACTCGGTGGTGAACGTTTTCCTATGAACTTGATCAGTGGGGTCCTTCCATGACTTGCAGCTCGGAAGACCGAGGTGACCCTCATCCTAAGAGTACTCCTAAATAATGGGGTCAGAAGCGAAAAGACGGGAAGCTCAATGAAAGGTGCAGCGAGATTGTGCGGCTGGTACTACTGTGAACGGAAGAGCTGCAGTGCAACACTCAGAATTGCGTCAAATGTCGTCTGCGGACCTCGGCCATGGCGTAGAGACCGGAGGGCCCTCTGGCCCATCCATGGGCGTGTGCGGAGAGCTCCCCAACCTCCGGAGCTAGGCTCAAGTAGGAACTCTGTGTGCTTGTATTATGAGTCCCAGTTAGATAATCAGTCCACTTCAAACATTGAGTAGAAGCAGGACTTATGGAATGTCCAGAACTGAAATGGGCATCTGTGAGCACGACTACTTGCTCAAGCCTGTCTCTTCAAGGTTTATGAGCCAAGCATACCTTTCCACTCACGCCCGATCTCGTCGATTGATATGATCCATTAACAACCAAAATGATGAGGAACATTGCAGGCATTGCGAACCTGGTCCGCCGGAAATATTAGTGCCTACTATATCTCGACTCAACCGACAGCAACATAGTCATTTCCATCATCGCTTCTAGCGGAAACTGAATCGAGGATGATGCAGGAAATCCTCCTGTTCGGCCAAGTGTTGGCAGACAACCACCAGACACTTCGTCAACAGCTTGCAGGCCTAGCACGAATGCCGCCTCAGCCCGTACTTGAAAGACATTTGATCTTCAAACCTCGTTCGCCTCCGGGCCTGGCTAATCTTCCAACGGGAAGTGGACCACAGGGGCCTCAGCAACAGGAGCTGCAGAAGACAAGGCAGATGCTCAATACACCTCTGAACTACGTACAAGTGGTCGGCTTGTTAGAGAATAAAGAACTGACACCTAAAAAAGAACAATCTGTCGTGCCTAACATGAATGCGGACCATGACCTTATCATGACAAGTGATGAAGACGAGTCAGCGCAAAGTCGTAAAGCCTTCCAGTGGTACCTAGAATTCAACGATATTCCGGAACCAGGAAAAGTCTCGGCTACCTCAAGAGCCACCTCAAAGACACGCATTCTGGAAGGCGATGTCATTAAGTTCATGAATGACCTTGGATATGAGTAAGATCCAATTCCTCCCTGCCCAGAGTAGTGCTATGTCTGAACAACCCTTAGGTACCTATCTCAATACATCACCACAGGCGATAGATTCTACGACCAAGACACAACGCTCTTCTTGTACAAGGTCATGCAAGCATCAGACCAGAGCACGCAGAACACCACACCCACCACCTCGACCATCAACACAACACCAGACATCTCGAAGCTCACGCCGCTTGACCCAAGCGAAGGCTATGTCCTGCAAGCCTCGATTGAGATAACAGATGGCAACAGTCCCGACCTCAAAGACAAGGCGACCCAGCAACTCCTTGCTATAAAGGACACACTACGTTCTAGCGTTGATCTCACACCCGGTGATCGGCTCGCCCTTGATACCAGAGTGCCTGTGAGGAGGGTGCGGTGATTGCCCTCTCCAGAGCCAATAAGGTAGAATCCCAACGCTTGCGCTGCTGCAAGGCGCTTGCCAAACAATGAAACCCATCGTACGCTCAGGCCGAAATTTGTTACCGGTTAGGGCTGCTATGGTAGAGATAAACCTTGGGCTTCCCCAAATCGTGAAGATGCAATGTGAAATAAAAGATTGGAGAAATGGCCCACAGCTTCTTTCCATCAATGAAGGCCTACACACATGTTCGAGGTCCCAAATCTGAGACCTTCGTCAAGTGAACACCACAATTCACGATATCTTGACAAGAGAACATGATCGAATACCGGCAGATTTACGACGAATCGGCTTAACCACTGCTCCTCCTCATACAGGGTAGAAGGGACTTGTACGACCGAAAAAGACCAGCAAAGAGATCAAACTTCACAGAGGGACCATCGACCGTGTGGCTCTGAAGTGTGCGGGTCTGGGGAACGTCTGAATCAAAAGGGAATCCTGTCACTGATCCGAGCGCTTTCAGAGCCTGAAAATCCAAGCTCTTTTCGGTTATAGTTGGTCGTGAATGTAGTGAAACGATGCCCGGGAGACCGAGGGGGAAAATGGTCACCCTGTTGGGTGAGATACAGAGAAATGTTTCTTGCTCAGACATGTGCTCAGTACTAGACTCGTACTGCCGGCC